CCAAAGACATTACATGGGGGTGGGAACTCCTCTAGAAACTTAGCGAAAGTTTCTCTTGAATACATTTGTGGTGGGAAAGAGTAAGTGGCGCTTAGTAACTGTCAGGGGGAGGTTTCTGTGAGTTCTCTCATCTGTAAACGTTTCGAGTGACCCTTTTAAGTCTTTTGTACAAAACCAGATGAGCTGTAGAAACCCTGTACTATTGGAAGAATGAGTACAAAAAGAAAGACATTGTGCAAAAGGAAGGAATTGGGGCTCTGATATTTAAAAGCTGTCTTCTGAAACCCACAATTTTCCAATGTTGGTTTCCTTCCTCCCTCTCCCCAAGAGAACCCCTGCCATGTATAATAAAATATTATCAAGTGGGAAGCTAAAAGAGGATTCTGCTAAATTCCCAAAGACAGTTTCCCCTGCCTTTGATAAAATTACAGTCCAGAAATAATCCCCCTAAGTATTAACTAGCAACTCACTCACAGTGTGACTTTGATAAAGCTGGGAAGGCTGTTTGTCTTAGAAGCTTTAAAACCCTCCTGCAACATAATTTTTTCATGTTTTAAATGTCAAGTGCCAAAGAAATTCTGAACTGATTAATACCACAGTGTTTCAGATCCAAGGCACAAACCTGTCTGAGTGAACCAGGGCAAACTTGTTGTTCTTAAACTGCAGTAATCAAGACGAAGGTGATTATTTCAGAAGTAATGGAGCGTTTCTGGAATAAACCTGCTCATTGGTGAAGTTACTTTATCTGATTTACAAATAACTGCTCCCACATGGTATAGGAACCCATGGAATCTGAAATCATAAAAGTGTTTGTTGGTATCATAGCTGGCAGTGTTTATTTTTAACAGTGCATGAAAACTCTTTTGTGATGCATTATTTTTATCAGTGGTTATTTACATTATTTAATGTCTTCAAGCACAGTTAAAACTTTTGATATAGCAATAGACATTTCTCTTTCATTTAATGAAGCTATATTTTCACACAAGTTCAAATGTTTTGCTTATTGTATATAAATTTAAACATAATAGGAATTAGAGATGTTATATAACCTTTAAGCCATATTCATCTATTCACCATAGTTCTCATTGTCTAGTCCAGTGCATGGCCTATTTTTTTTTCCAGATAAGTTTTACAAATGTTTTTCCTTTAAAACATCCCTTGCAAGAATATCCACAAAATGTTGGGAATTGCATTGAAGAGACCAGTAGCCTTGAGTCATAAAAAAATTTATAGACAAGAGAAACTAGCAGACTATTCTACTTGATTTTTACATTTTATTCGAAGGATATCTTCTGAGTGTTTATTTTTTCATTACTTGTGTATTTTCTGTTACAAATACAGTTTTTAAAATATAAAGGATTAAATTGCTGTGCTTTTGAAAAAAATATTTCAGCCAAACCAAAATTGAAGTTAAGTTGCATGTGGTGTTAGCTTCAAAATATGTCCATACTAAAATAACAGTAGCTTGGCAAAAACATGTTCAACTATCCTGCTTTTTGATTTAAAAAAAATTATATATATGTTGTCTGAGTCAGGGAAAATTGCATTTCTCAGTTACTTTTTACTTATGTAAATTAACATATATCTGTCATATTGATTATAAGAGGTACCCAAATAACAGTGGCACTCAGTATTTTGCAAAGATTTGAAAAAGTATGCACATGGCTATTGCAATTTAATCATTCCCTTGGAGTCATATTTCAAACTAGTTGTGTGACTGGGCAAGATATTTAACTTGTCTATATTTTCCTTTTCTTTCAGTAATATGAAGAGAGAATACCCACCTTACAGGGTAGTAGTGTAAATTTCTGGTGATATATAAGTGCTCTAAAAAATTAAAGTCCTGTGAAAATAAGGGATTATGTTAACTATTCTAAAATATTAAAACAAAGCACAAAAAGATACCTTTTCCTAAAGGCTCTAAGAAAATTCAGTTAAGGCCCCTAGCTAGTTTGGCTCAGTGGATAGAACATCAGCCCAAGGACTGAAAGGTCTCGGAATGGATCCTGGGTCAAGGGCACATACCTTGGTTGCAAGTTTCCTGGCCCTGGCCAGGGTTAATCAGGAGGCTACCAACTGATGCGTCTCTTTCACATCAATGTTTCTCCCTATCTCTCCCTCTCCCTTCCACTCTCTCTAAATATCAATGGAATAATATCCTCGGATAAGGATTAACAAAACAAACAAACAAAAAAATTCAGATAAGGGACTTTGCCCAAAGCCTAATGGCTAACACATGCTGCTGGTCCAGGCTGCGGTGCTGGTGTATTCTGATGCCTAAGCTAGCAGGGAAAGTGAGTTAGAGGTGAGCTTATGAGAATGTTTGATGAACCTAAAATGTCATATTTTGGTCAACAACAAAATGTGCATATTTAAGGTACCTCAAATATCTAGAACTCTCAGGGTTAAAAGTGTACCCGATGAGGCAATATTTCTGTCGGAAAAAAAAAAATATATCCTTCTAAATTCAAAAAGTAAAAACTAAAATAAATAGAATCAAAACTTTTAAAATATATAACATGTAGCATACATGTAAGGCATGAGATTCCAAGGGGTGTCTCATTTGGTTCTCAGCAATGCTGCATAGTCAGTGGGAATTCTTCTCACTGTCTTCAGGTGAGGAAACTGCCCATGTTTACTTGGTTTAGTACCAGAATCAGGATGAGAACCTGGTTCCTGACTGGGGAATGCAGGGCACTTGCAGATTGGCAAGCATTGTCACGGTGCTATCAAATTACTGTAAGGTTCCACAATGCAGTGCCTTTTTTTTTTTTTTTTTTTTTGTGCTACTGAGGGCATTTGACACTCATTTATGCCTTTTTTTCTTCTTAATTCTTGCATCAGAAATTGTTAATGGCTGCCAATATTGGCAGATTGTCATCCATTAACAATTTCTGCTACTGTTGTATTCCTGTTTGAAGGAGGCCTCCCTTCCTTCTGGTTGGCAGCTACTGATGTCTGACAGCACAACATTTCACTGAATTTATTATAATTTGTAAATGAAAATATCAAATAAGTATACATAGGAGTAAATGAAGGGGTTGGGGCTTAAGCTTTGTGCCATCTACTTTAGTTATTTTTCTGTGTACTCCTGGATTCTCATCTGTATTGTTATTATTCAAATTGAGAATGCATGACCTTAAAACAGGTTTACAGATAATTCAATTTTTATATGAGCAAATGAGAATTTCTGATCATAATGCAGTTCTATAAACATCAGATTGCCAAAATGTTATTTTTATATGTTATGGCTGTATCTCAGATCTTTTAAGTTCCACATTGTAAATCTCAGTTTGTAAAATGCTAATTTGCTGACCCATGATTTTCAAAATGCCATGGTTGTCAGTATTACCACATAGTTCATGAATTATTATTTCCATGTTCACAAGTAAGGCAATAATAATTAGTTTCTAAGAACGTTTTAAAAAGGTTAATGGACATGATCTTTGGCCCTCTTTTCATTGACTTCTCAACGCTAGCTTCTATTACTCCTAGGGAATGAGCTCGTGAACCTACTAAAGACACTAAATATTTAATTATGTTCTTATCTGGTGTATTTTATGTCAGAATTGTATTGTTTTCCCAGTAGAGATGATAATCTATGGAAATAAGGACTTTAAGTCTCATATTTATTAAGCTAAATATTTTTTGGCCTCAGAAGATAGCTGGTCATTTGAAAAGTGGAAAATAGAAAATTAAAATATACCCCAGCCTAACTTTTTTTGAAAAAGTCTTCCTGCAATTGCTAATTATGAAACAGACAAAAATAGTATTGCCAATAAGGCCCTGAAATGGCATCTTCTTTTCCTTTCTTCATCTCTCCTATGTACCTAAAGTTACTAAATATTAATTTAGACAGTACAAATGATATAAAGTTAGAAATGTGACTAGCTAATACCATGTCGTGAAAATTTAAATAAGAATTTTAAATGATTGCTATTTATTTCTTCTTTTGTAAAAAATCAAGGAAAGTGGTAACTTTGGGTGTGTGGGGCATTTTGTTTATTAAACAAACATGTAGAAATAAATTAGCTAAGGAAGTTGACATATCTCAAACATATCTAGTGTGAAGGCACATTTCTTAAAACATATTTTTTTATGTTGCAATTCTTGCTCCAGCTCAGCCTTGTAATAAGAAGAAAAAATTAAAATAAAAAAACCCCATACTAGTCATTTCTCCTTGATGTGAAGCACCAGTCTACAACATCTGCTTGAGAAAACTATAAAAATATTTGCAAATGCGAAACAATAACAAACCAAAGAAAGGAGGGTGTGTATTTACATGAACACCTGGAGGGTACTGCTTAGCTTCCATTCCCTGACTAGACGCAGGGGACCTGAGGAAAGGCAGAAGGTAGTTTCCTTTTTTTTTTTTTTATATATATTTTATTGATTTTTTACAGAGAGGAAGAGAGAGGGATAGAGAGTTAGAAACATCAATGAGAGAGAATCATCCATCAGCTGCCTCTTGCACATGTGCCCGCAACCAAGGTACATGCCCGTGACCGGGATCGAACACAGGACCTTTCAGTCCGCAGGCTGATGCTCTATCCACTGAGCCAAACGGGTTTCGGCAGAAGATAAGTTTCCTTTATCTCCAGGGAAACGCAGGCTGAACGTCTCTGAAGCTTCGGCGCGGAAACGAAGGGCACACAGGAAGAACTGGGGTGAGGGGTACCCGGGCGGCTCTCCTCCTGTGTTAGAAAGTTCATCCGATCCAGCCCTGCGCCCAGCAGGGAGCCCGGCGCCGACAAGTTTCAGCTCCTTCCATCCCGACACGCCCTCCCAGAAGTTTCAGCTCATTGGCTCCTCCCAGTCTTCGTGGTTCTTCCCGGGGAAGCTTCCCCGTCTCCCTGGCAACCGGAGCCCCCACCAATGGCAGCCGAGGATTGGCGGTCACGTGGCCTCTCCGCGTCTCTCGCGGAGGAAACATGGCGGCCCCGGGGAGCGCTGGCTGCGGGCTTTGAATTACTCTCCTCTCGGCGGCCGCATCCCTGCGGATGGCGTCTTCGGCTTCGTGCCCGGAGGGGCTCCCCGGAGACGCCCCTTCGCAAGAAGAAGACGACGATTGTAATCTTGAAGACAGGGCCAGCGACTCTAGCTCCTATTCGTCTGCGAGCAGCGGTGACTACGAGTAAGGTCCTGGGAGAGGGACAGTGAAACCCATCCCTTCGGTGCCCGGGGGGTGCGCGTGGGCCGGGGGACTGCACAGTGTGGACGGGCTGGGATTGGGCTACTTATATAGCAGCGGCTTTCAGCAGTTTTCTTCTCATGAGCCAATTACTAAAATTCTGTGGCACTCCAAACAATATATATTTTTTGCCAGTCTGACAAAAAAAAAATAGGTATAATTTTGGTTCATTCACACTGGATGGCTATTGTTGTGTTGGCTGTTGTCATTTTTTAAAATTTAATAATCCAAGGGAAAAGCAGCCAGTGATTTGTTTATAAGCAGTCAGTTATATGTTTAAAAAATTTTTTTGAGGCACACCGGTGAAAATCGATGTCCGAATGGACTGCCACGTATGGTCAGTGTAAGGGTGATATTTTATATGTACTTAGGAATAACAGTCACTAGTATTTAGTATATATTTAGGAGTGACAATTATTTTCACCTATAGGTATGTAAAACATTTTTTATCATTGTCTTTAGAAGCATGGAGAAAGCTATCACTTATGGCTGCTGACTATACTCTATAGCCTTACTGAGGACAGATTACATTCTTCAAGGCTTGAACAGTTTTAAAAAATATCATATATTTTGCACAATCTTCTGCTATGATCATTTAAAAATAATGAGAACATTTATGGTTGTCAATCGAGGCTGCTGGAAGGAAGTGTGGATTATACAGAGCCCATTTGGTCTTGCTAAGGAAGCCATAGACAGTGTGAAACCTCAAAGTCTTGGTTTGTCTGCATCTTAAAATCACACTTTCAGCCTAGAGAGAATTTGTAACTTGTTCATAATTATACAACTGTGAATTGTCAGTGTAGTAACTTAGGAGACCTTATTTCAAATGGGGCGCCCTGATTTTGGTGGAATAAAGATAGATGAGTTAATCTGTCTCCTTTGAAACGAACAATCTGAGGACCTTGTGTTAGGAAAAATCGTTACTTCAAAGCATTTCACAATTCAGAATACATGTATATATGTGTTATATTTTAATTTTTTAAATGATTATTAAGCTTTCTATAGCAGTCATTCAGTGATCACGCCCATGTTCCAGTGTCTTTATTCTCCTAATCATAAAAGGACAGTAAATCTCTATATTGTAAAATGTTTTGCTGGTCTGTAACCAAGATTCAGACTTTATGGCTGCCCATTCTTGGTGTGTAGGATATGAGAGTTGATTTGTTGACCTGAGCAGATTGGCAGTTTTGTTCTTTCCATGTGACATTAGCTATTTACCTCCCTAAGCTGCAGAGTCACCAAAGCAAGAAGTGGCCTTCCCAACTTGGACAGGACAACTTTTTGATCAAAGGAATAGGGGGTAATCTTTCTCATCAAAGCTAAGAGATATTGTCTTTCATTGCCTACAGGAAGGTTTTAAGGCAGTTATGCTGCTTATTGATTCACATAAAGTATCCTGAACTTTCAGGGTTCTAGTTAGTTAATTATTTTCATACTGGAGGCCCGGTGCATGAATTCATGCACTAGTGGACCCCCTCAGCCTGGCCTGTGAGATTTGGCCAAAACCGGCTTTCTAATATCCCGAGGGGTCCTGGATTGTGAGAGGGTGCAGGCCAGGCCAAGGGACATCACCAGTACACGATTGGGGCCTGGGATGGACATGGGAGGTTGGCCAGCTGGGGAGGAACCACGAGAGGGCTCCAGGGTGTGTTTGGCCCATCTCACCCAGTCTGGATCGGCTGGACCCCAGCAGCAAGCAAATCTACCAGTCAGAGCATCTCCCCCCTAGTGGTCAGTGCACGTCATAGCGAGCAGTTGAGCAGCCTTAGCATATCATTAGCATAGTATGCTTTGATTGGTTGAATGGTTGACTGGACACTTAGTATATTAGGCTTGTACTATATAGGATTCTTTCTGGAAGTTATTGTTTCATACATGCTTTGTAACTGAAAACCACTTTGAACCGCATGAGATTGTCAATACAAAATAAGTTTAATTTGGGAACTTTTTGGTGATATACTTTTAGTAGATTTAAGACATTGTGTAATAGGAAAATTTTAGATTACTGCAGTATATCTTAACCTGGCACATTGGCAAGCCCCTCGGGAAGCTTCTGAGGTAATATTGGTGGGTAGGCTGGTTTGAAGAAGCCAGTGCCTAGTCTCAATATGGAAATAACAGAAATCATACATTTACTTGCAAGTCCACGTTTCTTTGTTTTGGTTTACAATGATCCAACTAATTGAAGCAACATTTGTTAGTTCATTGTGGCCAAAGTTAACACTTTTATGACTTGGCTCTTTGATTTTTCAAGGTGACTTTTTGTTATTGTTAGGTTTAAAGCCTTGACTGACAGAGAAACTGGGACCCTTTTAAAAAATATTAATAAGTTAGCTATAAAAAGCTAAGGAACTTCCATTGAAACTAAAAATGACTGGAGCCCTGGCCTATGTGGCTCAGTTGGTTGGAGCATCTTCCTGCATATTGAAAGTTCGATTCCTGATCAGGATACCTACCTAGGTTTTGGGTTGATATCTGGTTGGCAGTTTGTATGGAAGGCAACCGATAGATGTTCCCTCTCACGTTGATGTTTCTCTCTCTTCCTCTCTCCTCCTCCTCCTCTCCCTTCTCCCTCTCTGAAAATCAATGGGAAAAATATTAACAACAGGTAAGGATTAACAACAACAACAACAAAAAGTTTCCCCATGTGTTTTCCTGAGACTACTCATGTGACCCACTCCTTACAACCACTTATCTGCTTTTTTTTTTTTTTTAATATATTTTATTGATTTTCCACAGAGAGGAAGGGAGAGAGATAGAGAGCTAGAAACGTCGATGAGAGAGAAACATCGACCAGCTGCCTCCTGCACACCCCCCGGGGATGTGCCCGCAACCAACGTACATGCCCCTGACCAGAATCGAACCTGGGATCTTTCAGTCCGCAGACCGACGTTCTACCACTGAGCCAAACCGGTTTCGGCCACTTATCTGCTTTTTGTCGTTAGAAATGAGTTTGTCTTTTCTAGAGTTCTATAAAAATTGAATCATACAGTATGGACAATTATTTTTTTTTGTTGTTTTCTGTTACTTAGCATAATTATTTTGAGACTTATCCATGTTGTTGCCTATATGTGACCCGGGTATTACAAAGATCTGAATTAAAACTGCTAGATTTAATTCCTGTTTAAAAGTAAATCTCTTATTTTGGAGTAAGTTTAGATTTACAACAGCGTTGTGAAGACAGTACAGAGTTCCTGTATATCCTTCAGGGGGTCCCCTGAGTTGATAACATCTCACCCAGCTGTGGCACATTATTCAGCACATAATAAGTTAGTATTGGGTACTGTACTATTAGGTAAACTCCAGACTTTCTTCAGATTTCACCATTCCTCTACCACGTCCTTTTTCTGTCCCAGGATATAATCCAAGGTATCGTGTTGCATTTAGTCAGCAGGTCTCCTTAGTGCCCTGTGTTCTGTGACAGTTCTCCGTCCTCCCTTGTTCCTCACAGCCTGCATCTCTTGGTCATGTCATGTCAGCCAGGCTTCTTTGCTGTGGTTACCGTTTTTCACTTTCCACACACTGGTCTTTGGAAGCAGTAAGTCCATCTCCTGGAATGGGGAGTATCTACACAGAGATCTAAGGTCTCTGTGTCTCCTCCGCTAATTTTGTTTTCACTTTACACATCATTTTCTTTTGTAGTATCTTGTCTCATTTCCTGTTCTTGTTTGTGTTTCTCGCTTATCTCCCTTTTTATATATTTTTTAAATTTCTTCTTCCTCTTAAAGGGAAGTTTGTTTTTTTCATCTAAAGGATAAGAAAATGGGTTGCATTCATTGTTGTTGGACATGGGAAATAGTCTTTTCTTTTGGGCAAAGATCCATATATTCTCATAAAGATGGTTACTGTGTTGTTGCGGGGAGGGAACCGAACACAAAGCTTATCGGTAGGTGAATAACCAAATGTGTTACATCTCTAATATGGACAATTAATGCAGCCATTAGGGATTTCTAAATTGTTAAGTGATAAATGAAAAAATATGTATTTTTACACACACACACACAGAGACATGTATACAGATACACACATTCCACTTATTATTTATTTTTAGATATATTTTTATTGATTTCAGAGAGGAAGCAAGAGGGAGAGAGAGAGATGGAAACATCAATGATGAGAGAGAATTATTGATTGGCTGCCTCCTGCACACCCCCCACTGGAGTGCCTGCAACCTAGGCCTGTGCCCTGTCCAGAATCAAACCAGTGAGCTCTTGGTTCATAGATCAGTGCTCAATCACTGAACCGTACCGGCTGGGCTCTACTTTTTAAAAACAATAACAGAATAACCCTATGTTTTTATATACGAACATAGATTTTTAACATTGTTTATGTCAGTGAAAGGTAAGAAGGGAAGATGGTGTATATGGTAATTATGTCCCCATTAGTGTAGAATGAGTCTATGCATATCTATAATGATAAAAGGATAATATGCTAATTAGACCACACGTCTTTCTGGACGAAGCTGGGGCTGTGAGGGCTGAGCCCTTTGCATGAATTTTGTGCATCAGGCCTCCAGTGTCCACATAAAGGGATGCATGTGAGGCTCAGTGGCTAAGCATCAACCTATGAACCAGATTTGGTTTGATTCCAGGTCAAAGCGCATGCCTGGGTCATGGGTTCCATCCCCAGTGTGGAGCATGCAGGAGCGCCGATCAATGATTCTCTCTCATCATTGATGTTTCTATCTCTCTCTCCTTCTCCCTTCCTCTCTGAAATCAATAAAAATATGTATTTAAAAATAAGAATAAGAGGATGCATGAAAGTATAGACACCAATTAGAAATCTAATCAACATTCATCATTTCCTCTCTGTTATCCGCTCATCTAATCAATCTCATAGTTCTGGTGATTTTCAACCATTTCTTAAATGTTTTTCCTATTTCCATTTTTTCTACTATTGCCTTCATTATCATCTCTGCCTGGATGATGGAAAAAGCCCCCTATTTGGTTTCGTCTCTTGAGTCCACCTCAAATCCTTCTTTCATTTTCTTGTCAAAGTAGACCTATCCGAGGATATCTGACATGTAAAGGTAAACTCTTTATCATTGCCCTATATACAAAATCCAAAACCTTTCCCGTGGTCCAAAGGCCTCAAAAAATTAGCACTTGACTACTCTTTCTGTCACTCCCCATCTCATGAATTAAACTCTGGCCGATGCTCTATCCACTGAGCCAAACCAGTTAGTACTAAAAAGAGATTTTTAAGTAAAAAGAATGAGAGTTGCTAATACTGCAGAAAACCAAACTGTCTTCTATCTGATGGAATGATTAGGACACAAATTATACCCTTTCATGCCAGGATATTACAGCTCATGTTTTTAAAAAGACTCTTTCCACTAGTTAGTTTTTCCACCGGAACGTGTTTTGCTTTAAAGAATCGCAGTTCGAAAGGTAAATGTTCATAATATTGAATAGGATAGAGTTTGTAATTAGGTGTGTTACCTTAAGGTTAAGTATTTTTTTGTTTGTTTTTAATGCTATTTTAGTCATTTTTAATAGCAATAATTTTGTTTCTTTCAATGGCTTGCTTCCCAGTTAAAGTTCTTTTACAGTCACATGATGGACTATGTAATATGTGTTTTACTTTTCCTACTACAGTTATTCATAAAAAGGGATTTTACAGAAATTATAGGCTATAGAAGTGATCATTATTAACTATAATTATAAATGGTTTTCAGCCCTAACCGGTTTGGCTCAGTGGATAGAGCATCCGCCTGCAGACTGAAGGGCCCCAGGTTCCATTCTGGTCAAGGGCATGTACCTTGGTTGCGCACATCCCCAGTAGAAGGTGTGCGGGAGGCAGCTGATCAATGTTTCTCTCTCACTGATGTTTCTAACTCTCTATCCTTCTCCCTTCCTCTCTGTAAAAAATCAATAAAATATATTTTATAAATAAATAAATAATGGTTTTCAGCAACGATTTTTATTCATAGAGAAGGGAATGTTTCTGTTTTTAAAACTTACTCTATAAATAACATCTATTAATACCAGTCTTTAGCTTTCATTTTAACATAACAGCCATGCTGAAAAATTTCTATACAAATAGGATATTTTTATGTACAATTTCCAAATGGCTTACATCTGCAGATACAATGCATGATCAACTGGTAATGTAAATTATTGTCCAGTGAAATTGTCTAATGTGAACAATAACCACACAGGGGCAGAACTTAATTTCTTTCTTTTTTTAAACACAAACTCAGATTCTAGAAGGGGGCCATCTCGTGTTTTTTGTGTGTGTGTGTGTTTTTTAATATATTTTATTGATTTTACACAGAGAGAAATTGAGAGGAACAGAGAGTTAGAAACGTCGATGAGAGAGAAACATCGACCAGCTGCCTCCTGCACACCTCCTACTGGGGATGTGCCTGCAACCAAGTACAGGCCCTTGACCCGAATCGAACCTGGGACCTTTCAGTCCGCAGGCTGACGCTCTATCCACTGAGCCAAACCGGTCCTGGCCCATCTCGTTTTTTTATTTGTTTTCTTTTCAAGCACTATGTCTTTTGGATTTCTTCTCCAACCCCTGATCTTCAAGGCTCTACAAAAAGCATCCTCCAGAAAAATGCTCTTGGTACTCACTTACTAGAAATAATGAGATTCTAATAATCAGATAACTTTTCTATCCCATTTCCCTGCTCCCTGCCCCTACCCTCACCCCTGTGCTAGAAAGGCATAACTTTTTCTTGTTTGGCTGCTATTCATGTTATTATTTTATTTTATTTTTATTTTTTATTTTTTAGTGATCTTGAGCCTGAATGGCTGGACAGTGTGCAGAGAAACGGAGAGCTATTTTATTTGGAACTGAGTGAGGGTGAAGAAGAAAGCCTCCTTCCTGAGACACCTGTTGTGAATCATGTCAGGTTCAGTGAAAATGAGATTATTATTGAAGAGGATGATTATTACAAAGAAGGAAAAAAGTATGAGCCCAAACTCAAGCGGTTTACCAAAATTTTAAGAAGCAGAAGACTTTTACCCAAGCGCCATCATAAGAAAAAGAGCAATGATAGTGGGCCAGTCTCCATTCTAAAGCATCAGTCCAATCAGAAAACAGGCGTCATTGTACAACAGAGGTACAAAGATGTGACTGTCTACGTAAACCCCAAAAAGCTCACAGTCACCAAAGCCAAAGAGCAGCTCAAGCTTCTGGAAGTGCTGGTTGGGATCATCCACCAGACCAAGTGGAGCTGGAGAAGAGCCGGGAAGCAGGCTGGCGGAGAGAGGCTGGTGGTCCACGGCCTGCTGCCAGGAGGATCGGCCATGAAGAGCGGTCAGGTGGTGATTGGTAAGTGCTGCGGCTAAGCCTCAGGTCTTGTCTGCTGAGACTCAGGATTAGAGATGCCTGTGAGGAATGCGATCAAAACGGAATTACCAGTATAGCCAGGGTCTTAACAGATTAAGAGCTCCTTGACGATATTTGGGACAATAGTGAAATTGTTAAAGGTAGTGTCCTGCCCGGCCCCGTGTTCTGGAAATAGACGTTTTTAGTTTATTTAATATGTTTGTGTGCCTTGCTTAGGCCAGGGGACAGCTTAACTAATTTCTGAGTTTTGAATTCGATATAACTTTGTCAACTTGGTTATGTTTACTGAAAAGTAAGAGAAAATAAGTTGATTGTACGGTGATAATTTAGGGTGGAATGACATGTCCAATAACATTATACAAAAATATATAATTTTATGAACAGAAGAACTTTAAAACTGTATGTCTGCACTTGAATGCACTGAGATCTTGGAATGGCTTTAACCGTTCCATTTGGCATGTTTAACAACAGTGGTGCTGTGCATAAATTTCCCTTTCAGGGTGCTTGCTATAAAACATCCCACCAATAAGCAGGGAGGGAAAATAAACCCACAAGTTTTTCTGAATATATACGAAGATGAGCATTTTGTGTTAGTGATACCGTTTAAGCTGTTGTAGATAATGTTTGAGTTAGTAGTAATTTTATTACTTATAAATAAATTAGACACAGATGAGAATATGTTATTAGTAAAACTTAATGGTATTAACAGTGCTAAAAGCTGGCAGTCTTAAGTTGATCTAACCTAAGAGATTTGGATAAAGGAACTTTTATTGGTACTTTAAAAACATGTTTTTATTTTGCCTAAATTTGGCTTGACAAATAACTATTTGGGCATCTGCTAGGTGCCAGGACAACAAAGACTAATGGTCCAAACACTCCTCTTGTGGACCTCCTACTGAGGTGGAAGAGATGGGCCAGAAATGGCCGGCAGCTTCACCCAGTGTGGTAAGCGCCATGAAAGGGGTTTGCAAGGAGGACCTGAGCAGGAAGGGCATCTGTACCAAGCCTGTGTTACAAAGGGTTGCAACAAGATCCCCACGTTCTCCTCTTACAATGTCACGCTGATCCTAGTCCCATAGAGAGTTATAGTCTGTGTGTCTCCCCGCCGCCCAGCCCTCTGAATCTGGGTGGGCCTGTGACTACTGCGTATGTGGCACTATGTGATCTACAATACTTAAAAGGTGGGATCATAATGATTCAACGTTTGTATATATTGCAAAGTGACGACCACAGTAAATTATTACCGCACAAAGTTAAACATGATTGTTGCTTTAAGCTACCGAGTTTTTGAGTGATTCGTTATGTGGCAAATAGGTAGTAACTAGGACAGAAGCTAATGCAATCTACATTCTCTCAGATCCTCAGCTTTCTTTTTTGTAAAATGATGAGATTGGACTAAAATATTTATAAGATTAGATCTTTTAATTCTGTCAGAGGAGTCCAGAATTCCTGCTTATGAAACCCTGCCTTGTTGCTGACCCTCATAATTTTAGGATCCCACATGATGGGAAATTCCAGCCAATGCATTCTCTTTATACATTCGACCCTTCATGTCCGTGAGTTCCACCTCTGTGGATTCAGCCACCCTCACATGGGAAATATTCTGAAGAAGATAGTTACTTGGTTTGACATGTACTATGTAGTTAGGTCCTGGATAGTTGCATCTATACTGCACATGTACAAGCTTTTTTCTTGTCATTATTCCAGAAATAATACAGGATAGCAACTATTTACATAGCATTTCATTGTATTAGGTATGATAAGTAATCTAGTGATGACTTAAAGCATATGGGATGAGGTGTGTAGGTTTATGCAAATAATGCGCCATTTATATGAGGAACTTGAGCATCCACAAATACTGAAATCTGCGGGGAGTCCTAGAATCAGTCTTCCGTGGGTGCTGAAGGATAAGTGTAGTTCTCTGGGGCTTCTGCTCTGAATACCTGTTTGGACTGGTTTATAGACAAATCTCTGAAAACCTTCTTACCCTTTTCTCTTGAAACAGGAGGGCTTCTAACCAGTGAGCCTCCTAATTCTGTATGTCCTCTCCCCTGATCCTCTGACCTGCCGAACCTCCGATGAATGCCAGTTACCTCCTGGCCTGATCTTTTTGTGCCATCTGTGTAGGAGGAAAGAAAATAAGCTGTAGAGAGAAAGAGACTACTACCATGGTGGTCCTACTGTTTATTTTTAACATAAAGATACGCAGGATGCCAGTAGTCTACTTTTTGACCCGAGTGGTTATATGGATGTGTTCGTTTTTTGCTAATTCGCTGTATTGTACTATAATGTGTGCACTTTTATGCATGTATACTAACTAGCAATAAAATGCCAGAAAAGAAAGTCTCATGATTTCAGTTTTATGGTGGAAAAGCTTCTGATATTCTAATAAGTAAAAAAAAAAAAAAAAAAAGAGAGAGAGAGAGAGAGAGAGAGAAAGAGAAAGAGATATGTGTCAGAAAAAGATGACTATTTCATTCTTTCATCCTTGGTGTATAGCAAAATGCTTGCCTCAAAATAAGCCCTGAAAAAATGCGTATTAGTTGCATGGATAAAATAAGTAAAAAGAAAATGTTCAGGGAGAATAATTAGAAGTCAGTATAAATACAACAAAGTGCTAATAGTATTAGGTTAATATAGGGAGAGTATGGGTGATTGTTTTCTCTGTTTTTTAAAAGGTTTTATAATGATTATGTTCTCTGTTTTTAAAGTTATATATTTTAGGAATAAAGAACACACTATTTTAATGTCATAGAGGATTTGCTAGCCCCACAAAGTGCTTCTGGGATGGAAATTTGTCATAGTTCCCTTCACAGTGCGGTCTGTGGTTGCACTGTGAGGTAACCCACAGGACGGAGGATCTTGAAAACTGCCCTGGGGATGGAGCTTGCTGGCGGCGCTGCCTTTGTCCTGCGGGAGAGGGGCCCTCCTCTGAGTGCAGAGCTTTAGCACAGTGAGACTGGCCGCTTCCTTCTCTCCTTTCAAGACAGCAGATCTCTATTCTGATGCTTCTTTGCTGGGGTCTTGGAAGTTTTGCTGCCTTTTTAGGTGCCATTTTGCTGTTCCTTCTGCCAAGGACTTGCATTTTATTTTTTGTATTTGTATTATATAATTACTGGTGTTTTGATATTACCTTTAATTATGTTGTGGTTGTAAATTTCCATTTTAAGATTGATCTTTATTATATTAACCCCCCCTCCCCAGATTTATAAACGTACACATTTAAAGAAAAGCCACGGCAAAGGAAGTTTTTTACCAGAACGTGTGATGGGTTTTGATATGGTGGGGCCTTTGAAACAAAGAGCTATGTATAGACACAGATCAACAACAGTGAATTCCACAGCATTTTGAGTTATGATGTACCACATGTATTTAATTAAATAAAATTTCAGCTGAATATTTTCACTTTGGGTATAAGTGGTTAGATTCAATTTTATTAAGAGCAATACTTGGTTTATGCTGCAAATTTTCCACGTGGCTTTTGGCTTTACATAATTCTCCCAATGGTGTCAAAAGTGAGAATATTCATCTCTATAATATTCCTGGGTTGTGTTCAGCCGCGGTACAATATTGGTCTGTATTGTAGTTTAAGAAAGAGTGGAATGGAAGGTGAGCTCTGCCACTAGTGAGCTTTTTCACCTTGGACAAGCCCTTGAATGTCTGGACCATATTTTTCACTGTATTTTAAAAAGGTCAGAATGGGTTATTTTTTTAAAATATATTTTGATTTTTTACAGAGAGGAAGGGAGAGAGCTAGAGAGCTAGAAACATCGATGAGAAACATTGAACAATTGCCTCTTGCACACCCCCTACTGGGGATGTGCCCGCAACCAATGTACATGCCATTGACCGGAATCGAACCTGGGACCTTTCAGTCCTCAGACCGATGCTCTACCACTGAGCCAAACCGGTTTCGGCAGAATGGATTGTTTTTTAATGTTTCAATTCTAGATCTTTTAGGTTTGGGGATAGTCCCACGACTGTCTTTTATTATTCTTTTCTCAGGTGACGTCCTTGTTGCTGTGAACGATGTTGAGGTGACCTCTGAGAACATAGAGCGAGTTCTGTCCTGCATTCCTGGGCCTATGCAGGTATGGACGTTCTCTGTCCTGGTGTTATGATGAATTAACATAAAATAAGTGCATCTTGTGCTATTTTCTTTTCTTTTTTTAAGATTCTGGAAATTATCGTATATAATGGAGGAGTTCTTACATACTTGGGTATTTAAAATATTTAAGATCTTGTTAACATTTTTAACTTTGGAGATTATTCTTAAAAAAGAGAGAATCATGTTTACAAATAAAACTCATCCTCAGTAAAGCAGGAAGAACAATAATAAAAACATATACAATGACCAGTCTGCCGTTATAACCACCCTATGTGGCTGATGGAACTCCCGTTGCTGGAAAAGTCATTCCAAACAGTCCTGGAACTTTCTCTTCTCTGACTTACCACAGTCATTATTGCTGTCAGGTTTTTCTGTGCTATTTACTTATTTTAAACCATACTATTTTCTTCGCTTTTCTATGACCCAGGTTAGCCTTATTCCTGGGTTTTTGTTTAGCTAAGTAATGAATTACCTTCCATTCCTTATAGGTAAAAATAAAACTCTTTAGTAATGTTATTTTGATACTCAAGAGAGTTTGCTTGTTAAATGGAGTGAGTTGGAGATAGAAGTAGAGAGAGGGGATCATTAAAGCAACAAGATTTAGGAAGTGAGGAGTTCCCATGAGCATGTCCTTAGACCTGAGGAAAGGCACATCCTCTCCTGACCTGGGAGAGAAGGAGGAAAGGAAGGATGGGCGCATTGCACCGATCAGAAACGGTTTTGAGGGAGACAGGAAAGGAGGAACCATGAAATGTGTCATAGGTTAATGTCTATGAAAGAACAACAGGAATCCTTTTTTTATGAGAAGCTTCATATAAACTATCTTATATTAAGTGTTTCTTAATAAAAGTTTTTTTCCTATAAAACACATAATCTATAATAATAAAAGCATAATATGCTAATTAGACCAGACATCCTTCCGGATGTCCTTGCGGGCGGGCAGGGGCCATGGCCAAGGCCCTTGCATGAATTCCGTGCATCGGGCCTCTGGTATCCTCCTATTCACATGTATCAACCCCCGTTTTAAAAATAGCACTTGACTCTTGACTTGATTATCTATCTCACCCTTTATTATTTCATCAAGGCAACTAGATTTCCTGACATTTATAGCCACTTAACATGCAAACTTTTTCAAAATGGCTTGCTAAAGTGTAATTATCTTTGGAATACAGAGCCAACTTGACTGAAATCGGAAAAACGCTGGCTAAAATAGTTCCTTAAAGAATTTTAATGGATGGTTCTGTGGTGTGTGTACTGGCTTAAGTATTTGTCATGGTAAGGGGGAAAGGTCTGCGTACCACAGAAAAGAAGTGCTGGTGTGTGCCGAGTATAACATTAACGTTGGTTTTCAAGCATCTTGTTCTTCATGAAGCATAGCAAACCAGCCTTAAATTTTAGGTTGCTGCTGCTGCCTAAAGCAAAATTGGTGAATTGTTGTTTTAAGTCATTTCCTTTTGTCATTTCTGGGGAATCACGCCCTATCTTTTGACCTCTCCACCCACAAGAATCTCAGCTAGAAAAGACGTACAGCTCTCACTGACGCTCCAGCCCTTCTGGCCCTTCTCTGTGATGGCCGCTTCCCTGGGATGTCACTCATCTCGTGCCCCTTGCAACCAGCTTTCTCCTCCTCCCAGCCACTCCTCCCCCAAACCCAGTGTCCGGGAACAGTCTTCAAAGCTCCCGTCTAGTTTGTCACAAATTCTGTGCTCAGGATTTCCCCAAGTTCTAGATTTCTTGCCTTTCCAAGGAACATCACCGAAGACTCCCGTGTATTCTGTTTTTGGATACTCCCAAATTCTCAGTCTCAGATAAAAGAACCTTCTGACCCCCAAGCCACCCGCTTCATCAGATCCTTACTCAAGGATTTCATGTTTATGCTTATGTTTATATTTTTACTCATGCATACAGATATTGAGAGCATTACCCACTGGAACAGATGCCACCTTCATAAGATAGTTTCAGGCCATAAAATGCTTACATGTTGCTTGCTTAGGTCAAAACCTCATACCAAACACTCTTTTTCATATCCTTCTAAGATCATTCCTAAAAAAAAAGTCTCTTCACTCTTCCTTACCTTAACCATATATTAATTTCCATCAGATAAATCTTGATTGTTCCCATGTAGGATCTGTAATTTTTTTATATTTTTGTTTAGTTTGCTTAATATCCCCTCTCCCCAGATATACTAATTTTATACTCAGCCTTTCTTGATACAGTGTTCTAATACCCAGGGTCCATTTCTCAATATCAGATTTACAGAAAACAAAAAATTTAATAAAGTTTGATCATTTCCATTTGGAATGATTTTATTAAATGTTTTGTAAAGAAAGATATCCCCAGGCCTCAGAAAAATTTCATGAGGGATTTCTCCCCTCCTGCTCTCTATACAGATTACTGCTAACTGTGACCTAGTTTATCTTTATTCTGAATGTATACCTATTGATGAATTTAAACTTCATGTCTCTTTTCTTTTCTACTTGTTACTAAAATAAACTCTGAGACTTATTTTAGAAAAGATGCTTATGTGATTTAATTCACTTTATATAGACAAAGATAACTGAGTGCCCCTGAAATGTCACAGATAGCTATAGATAGCAGAATTTAACACAGTTGTCATCACTCCTTGCCAACAAGAAAGAAGACACCTAGATATTTTTCTTTTGGAAGGTTCTATTCATTGGGGGCAGATTTATTTTATAGTATAATGCAAACAGTTGTTGGATGGGCTGGAGGGATTAATTATGAATAAGTTTTTAAAAATAACATGCTTCACTTTTTTAATAAAAATATATAAATAGATAAAGCTCATTATTAAAAAGAGTTCCTAATGTGTTAGTATTTATTATATATTTAAAGTTGGCCTTGAAAATAGAACCTCTTGTAATGCATTTCTAAAAATAGAGATTATTGCTGTCTTGATAATAGTTTTTAGATATTTTAATCCCTAAATGCAACTTACTATATACAATTTTATCTGTTTTTAAATACTGAGCAGACTTCTTACCCTCCCCCCCCCCCAGCTTTACTGAGGTATGCTTGACAAATAAAAATTGTATATATCTAAGTTATATAATGTATTTTTTAAGTATTCAATATACTTAATATACATGTATTGAGCAGACTTTTTTCTTGATAGCATGAATTTATTTTTTTACTTTTAAAATGTAATCTAATTTTAAAATAATAATTGTATATTAGTGTTTAAAGTTGAAATGTTATGGCTTATTACAGTTAGAATATTTGCTTTACTCATCTGTAGTTTGGACAATTTTAAACAATGGCGATATTTTGTGCCTCTCTAGCTTATGATGATGTCCGTGCTACATAAAATTAAGTATCCTATATAATTAAAGCCTAATATGCTAAGTGTCCAGTCATCTGGTCATCTCTTCAACCAATCAAAGCGTAATAAGTTGCTGATATGCCGGTTTCAGCCCGATCCCTGGAGGCCAGGCCAGGGGACCCCACCAGTGCACAAATTCAGTATTTAAATATTCTTTAACTTCTTTTGGTCGAGATACACACTGATGCTTTAAAATGAGTGAGTTATCTTTGGCCAGCAGGCATCTAGTCACTTAGTTCCTTTGTCAATGAAAGGTAACTGAGGAGTGGAAGCTTCTTTCAACAACTGGAAAAAGCCATGTCCTGGATGCTTACCAAACTGGTTGGACATCAGGCCATGCAATGAAAACTGCATGATAAAACTGATAGATGATCTTTTTTAGGCCATGATCCAAGACCCAGCACGTTGATTGTTCTTTACTCTCCTGAGCCTTTAAAGGAGAGTAAAGAACAATCACAGACAATCTCAGACACAAAGAATGTCTGAGAGAATGTTTGAACCTCACCTCACTTGAAAGGAACACTAACTCTGGAGGTTGCTTTTTTTGTTTTGTTTTTTTTTGTTAAGCCTTACGAGGGATATTTTTTCCCACTGATTTTTAGAGAAAGTGGAAGAGAGAGAGGGAGGGATTGGGGAGGAGAGGGGAGAGACAGAGAGAGGGAGAAAGAGAGAGAGAGAGAGAGAGAGAGAGATCACATTGGCCAGAGCTGACGGTTGCTTTTAATCCAGAATTTCCTTTACTTTCCCAGAGGAGTCAGTGCTCATAATGTAGTATTAGTCTTCATTACACTGTCAGATCACACTAATTTTTGTTTTGGGGGGCATTTCTTGTTTTGTCAATACTTACAATACAGTTATTACCTTTAAACACATAAATGTTTGTACAGAGAATTATATATTCTTACTCAATAAATATTTGCATTACTGTGTGCCAGACGCTGGGCTAGGAACCGAGGAGCCCGTGCTGCAGGAGGATGTCTCTGCATGTTGTGTGTACCTGTATGTGCAGGTACAGAGCCTCCTTTGTGAAAGCTGCAGCTGATTTTCCCTTGTTTTAATTTTTAAAGGTGAAACTGACATTAGAAAATGCATATGCTGTGAAAAAGGAATCGACTCAACCAAAACAGAAAAATGCACAATCAAAAACAGAAGGCGATTTAGTCAAACTTCTACGGGGAGAGGAGATTGAAGGTAACCAGCAGAATGTGCTCGACACCCCTCACATGGTCATGTATCTCACACTAGAGCTGGACTCAGAGACCTCAAAGGAGGAGGTGAGTCTTCTCAAAAGTGCAGGGAAAACGGAAAGACGTTATGCTAGTATAGTCTTCTCTGTGAAGAATGAGCCCTTTTATCAGTCATTCTGTCTTTATGTTTTTGGTATGTCTCTTGCTTCTTTTAATTGCAGTATTTTAACGGACAAGCTCAATGAGTCCATTTGTGGAGATCAGTGAAATACTTGAAAATTTGTTTCTGCTGTCTTCTTTAAAAATTTTGTTTGAACTGGTTTTCCATAATATATATTTGGAAATATATATTGATTTCAGAGAGGAAGGGGGATAGAGGTAGAAACATCAATGATGAGAGAGAATCATTGATCAGCTGCCTTCTGAACACCCTGTACTGGGGATGTGCTCTGACTGGGAATCAAACCATGATCTCCTAGTTCATGGGTTGATACTCAACCACTAAGCCGCACTTCTATGATATTTGCTTACCTATTTTGGGGTGCTTGTATCATTATTATTCTTGTTCTCTTTTTATGTGTGATTACTCTTAAATTTTTATCACATTTGTCTTACAAGATTTTAAAGTTAAACACTATCTGTATTGCTTTTTAAAACAATTCAAGGCTTTAGTATGCCTTAATTTCAATCATCCCCCTCTTCATCTACCTGCTATTGTCATCAACATCTTAATGCCATCATTTTTTAATTCCACAAATTGGCATAATTATAATATTATTACTAACAATTAGTATATTTTATATTTTATAAAAATATAAATTATATATTATAAAATTACATATTTCAGAGATGAACCTTCTTTATTTTTTTTTAATATATTGATTTTTTACAGAGAGGAAGAGAGAGGGATAGAGAGTTAGAAACATCAATGAGAAAGAAACATGGATCAGCTGCCTCCTGTACACCTCCTACTGGGGATGTGCCTGCAACCAGGGTACATGCCCTTGACTGGAATCGAACCTGGGACTTATCAGTCCGCAGGCCGATGCTCTATCCACTGAGCCAAACCAGTCTCGGCAAGATGAACCTTCTTTAAGTTTACATATATGCATAGCAATTTCCTTACCATTCTTTCTTACATCTTAGACTGTCCTTAAACGGTATTTTTTTTTTTTTTCTTCTAAAACATATATGTTAGAAATTTCTTTTGAGAGAGTCTATTCCTGATACATTGTTTTTGTTATTTATCTGTTATGTGTTTTTCGCCCCTTCTTGAAAGGTAGTTTTATAATTCTACTTTGTATTAGTCAGAATAGGCCAGTCGCTATAATAAACAACCCTCTTGTCTCAGTGATAACATAATGGAGGTTTATTTCTCATTTTAATGTAAACATTCCTGTCTTGTGTGGCTCTGTGATCCGAGCCCTTCATGTAGTGGTTCCATTCTTCCCAAGAGCTTCCCAATCCTCTGTTGCATCTTTTGCATCCAGTTGGCCAGTGTGAGAAGAGAGAAAGCATGCTGTAACCTATGGCATATTTCAGAGGCCTGGCTTCAGAGTAGCAACATCACTTCTGCTCATGTCCCAGTGCCTAGCACTAGGTATATGCTCTCTCCTGATATAAGGAGGTAGGAAATGTAGTCTTCCTGTGTGGCCAGGAAGAAGATGGAGTAAAGACATGGTATTGCTTATGCCAACCAGATAAAAAGTAATTATTTTTCTCTAATCTGTTTGAAGATAGTATTCCTTTGTCTTCAGACTTCCGTAATTGCTGCTAAGTCTACTGTCAGTCATTCCTCTGTAAAACATGTCTTTTATTTTCTTCCTTCATTATAGCTTCCGCTATGTCCATAGTGTTTTTTAAGCTCTCCATTGTGTTTAATATTCACAGTTTTATTTTTAGGAGTTTCTGAAAAATTTCTAAGTATCGATATATGCATACAGATCTACAATGCTGTTCCTGATAGTCTCTTGTTGCTTGCTCATCTTAGTGATTCCATATTTTATTTCTCTAAGCATTTCATACAGAGTTCTTCTCTGCTCTGAACCTGCCCATCCCACTCTAAGTCCTGAAGGGATTCTGACTTGTGGTGACTTGTCTTCTTAAGTCTTTGGAAATCATTGGCGAAACTTATTGCTTGATTTTATCTTTGGGAGTCCGAAAGTTCTAAAGTGGGAATGTGTTCCTCCAGAGAGAATTTGCTGCTTCTGCTTCTGCTTCTGCCACTGGCCTGGGCTTTACTCTAGGATCTAGGTTTAACACACTGGTCGTAGGCTTAGCTCATCTACTGAGCCATTAGCCCAGTGCTCAGTGTCCTGATCAAATGTGCTGGGCATCAACCCTCATCACAGCCCTGCCTCTGCCTTTCTGCCCACCACTCCCCACTCCCAGCTGAGGCCCCAGCTTGCTTTGCAGTGGTGGGGAAAGGGGTGTGGAAAGGTATGGAGAGGGTATCCTTGGAAACCTCTCTACATCTCACATATCCAGCAGTTCAAACACGTATGTTTTGGTCATGGATCTAGTTGTTTTATATCACAAGAGTCTCTTAGAGCAGCTAGTTTACCATAATGCTTGGAGCAGAATTGGGATCTAAAATTAGGTTTTACCTAATTTGCATTTCTTTGCTTTTGAAATCTTCGCAGTCTGTATTCTCGATGCCAAAGCCATTTTACACAAAAGGTGTATTTCCTTGGGTTGTTCCTTCATATATCAAAATTTAGTCACTGATTCAAATGGAAAAGAAGGGATTTACTTATACACATTTTTATTGTTTTCTCTGTTCTGAAATGCCTAGAGCCCTCGAGTGAACAATTCTAATTTCTTGCATGTATGATCAGTCCTTTATATGTTTAAAACAAATAAGAAGTTTAACCATTTATTGTGCAAAACACATAATAAATTTCTGGGATGGCATGTGTGATTACGCTGGCCCCTTCTAGCTTGTCTTGGAGTAGGATGCTGCTGAGGCCTTTCGTCATCCTTGCCTTTCCTTCCATGGGAAAGTGGGTAGATGTTTCTCTGTCTGTTGACAGTCCTGTATCAACGCTGTGATCCGGAGAGGCTTTTTATTCTCACTGAATAGAGGGGGAGTTGCTGCAAATGCATGCTGCTAGCAAGTGCTTAAAAATACAGCTAATTAAATTGGTTAGGAATTGCAGAGCTTGCCGGGCCTGTATTAACAGGGAGGCTTTCCAGGCTGGCTGCTGCAGCAGTTGGCAGAGAGGTTTTCTCAAAGGACCTTTATTTACTGCTATGACTTACTTTACAGTGAGGTGTCATAGGGTCATTTTGTTTTTCTGTGAGTTACATATCTAAGAAAAGCTTGTTTTCTCTGAATCAGATGATTTGGAAATTTCACAAAATGAATCAAAGGAAATAATGGTTATTTGTTTAAAGTGGTATTTGTTATTTGGCTAGCAAAGTTTTAAATAGATGTAAGAGAAAATCTTCATTGATGTTTGGCTTAATTTCTAGAGATAAAGTGTTTAACTGTTTTTACACAAAAAATATTGCAAGAAGATCTGCGTTGTTAGGAAGAATATATGTGGCCAACATGTGCCATAGCAATTTGCATATATTGAATGTGTTTATTAATAAGCATAAAAAGCAGATGTGTATAGTTTGTTATTACTTATATTTGTCCTAATGTAAAAGTTGCCACGATATATATACCATGTCACATAATTAGTTCTTGTAAAAAGAGACCAAAGCAAGAAGCAGAGAGAGAACCAAGGAAAATATCTGATAATATTTAAGAGTTTGGGCTTTCAATAGTGGCTATGTTAATATTTATGCTAATTTTTCCATTAAACAGTATTAGTAGAAACTACTCTGAATTCTCTAAGGTTTCTATCTGGAAATTTGTATTTTGCCTGCTTTTTATTTGTCTTATAAGAAAAATGTCATGTTGCTTTAAATAACAACAAAAAAGTGAGGTCCAGAATGATTCATCCTTTTGTGTAAAAATTCTAGTACAGTGCACATTCTGATTTTTGAACTTGTGTTAAAACTTCATGTTTCCTGAGAACAGGCTCTTCTTGAAAATTGAAAAGTAGTATGCATTCTGAGCTTTATTCTATAGATCTAGTATTTTACATAATTTAAAATGTGCTGTTTTTTAAAGACTTCATTCAGATTAGTTTGTGGTTAGGAAAACCCTTTCAAATTTTATAATATAATGTTTCTTCCTATCTGCAGTACTCTAATGTAGTTTTGTGTTCTCACTTTTTAATTTCAGTATTGTTTTGGGTTTAAATAAAGATTTAATAATTTAACAAATTCACCAAAAATGACAAAGATGATTCTTTTAAAGTCATTATGAAAGTAATTAAATTTAAGGACTCCTAAAAGTTACATATGATATCTATACAGATATGTATAAAAATATTTGTATAATGAAATACAATAAAATATTAATTATAGAATTTAAGGAGATTAAAGTTTAAAACATTGTTTGAAATTATTCCAACTAATTAGTGTCCTATTCAGTATATGTATATTTTGACATCATCACCAATTTTGACAGTTTTTAACTTATATTTTCAACTGTGTTAAAATTTTAAGCATATATCTCTTATTTTGAGTAAAACTCCTACTGAAGCTATAAATAATTTTATGAATAAAATTATTATTATTTAAATAAAATATAAATAATAATAATTTTATTGTTCTTTTCTAAATACAAACTGAACTTTCCATAACAAAAAATAATGGCTGGAAAAATTGAGGAATGTGATCATTTTTGTTTGTTTGTTTTCATTTAACAGCAGGAAATTCTTTATCATTATCCAGTGTCTGATGCATCTCAGAAACTTAAAAGTGTGAGAGGGATATTTCTCACGCTGTGTGACATGCTGGAAAATGTAACTGGGACACAAGTTACTAGGTAATAATTGATTTTAACTTAGCTTTAATTATTTTTCTTTCAAGTTCTTTACCTTTATTCTGATAAAACGCTAATAGAAATATCTATTACACAAATATATTTGTTTCTATGTTGTAGATATATCTGCAAATATTTTGCTTCTCACCTAAGTTATTTCTACCAGTTATCTACTTAAAGTGTAGGTTCTCAATATGGCTGTAGTTCTGGGTGTTCTGGTACACTTCATATCACAAAGTCGAAACAGTGATCTATACTTTAGAACCTACTTTATGAAGGTGGTATCTCTTAAGCATGGTATTATGATGAGTCTTGGCTTCTTCATGACTTTATCTTGATTGTTAACTTGCTGGATGGGTAACACTTTGTGGTTGGGAAGAATGACTAAATGCTTATTTTTCTTATGATTCTTACAACAGTAATAGAAAAAGACAGAATACACTTTAGGAGGCATGTTTGGAATGCAATATGATCTGTGCAAATTTTTTCAGTGATGGATAAGCAAGAGTGATATCAAATAATTTTTGGAAAAATAAAATACATCATATAGTCAGTTATACAGCAGAGTATACCAGTATACACTGACTTAACCAGCCCTGACTTTGAGATGCCATAGTTAACTTATGGGAAGAAGAGGCTCAAAAGCTTTTAAGTTTTGTTTTGGGGTTTGTTTTTCTTTTTATACAATAAATCTCTGAAGTATAAGCTGTTTTTTTTTCCTTAATATTTCAACAATCTTTGACTTTATAAAAAATAGGTTATCTCAGATTTTAAGAAGCCTAAAATACTGATAAAATGTCAAGTTGGATTTTCCAGACTTTAACTTTTCTTTTTCCATCTTCTGGTAAAAATGACATCACTCCAACAGTTTCCTTGAGGAATATTTGAAATTTGACTTACATTTTGTTTATTTGTTTATGTAGCTGTGTCGCATATTGAGTTATTACCTTATAAGCTGGGACCATGTCTTCCTTTTTTTGTAATCACGTTAGTAAAGCAAGTTCATATGTAGGCAATCAGACCTGATATATTAAAGTAACACAGTGGAATGGAAGTCTTCTTCTTCTTTTTGTTTTTTCTGTTATGGGTATAATTTCGTTTGAGTTTCTGTGGGGTTTTTAAAAACTACTTCAGAATATATTTTTGTTATTGTACAATTATCTTTTCTATTTGGCAGTTAGGGATATGGCAAGAAATGTGCTTATTAGGCATGCAGTTCTTAAATCATTCCATATGCAATCTTTTCTGAATGACTGTTTATAATTTTACTAGAGGCCTGGTGCACAAAATTCATGCATGAGGGTGTGGGGGTCCCCTCAGCCTAACCTGCACCCTCTCCAGTCTAGGATCCCTCTCATAATCCTGAACTGCTGGCTCCTAATTGCTCACCTGCCTGCTTGCCTGGTTGCCCTGAACTGCCCCCTCGCTCCTGCCAACCTAAGTGCCCCCAACTGCCCCCCCTGCTGGCCATGTTGCCCCCAACTGCCCCCTCTCTGCCAGCTTGGTCGCTCCTAACTCCCGCCGCCACTGGCCTGATCACCCCCAACTGCCCCCCCCCCCCCCTTCTGGCCTGGTCGCCCCACACAGCCTGCTGTTCAGGCGTTTGGTCATCCTTCACTAACCCCCCTGCCAACCTGGTCACCCCACGTGGCCTGCTTGTTCAGTCATTTGGTCATCCCTCACTAACTCCCCTGCCAGCCTGGTCACCCCACGCAGCCTGCTGCTCAGTCGTTTGGTTGTCCCTCACTAATTCCTCTGCCATCTTGTGAGGTTGTGAGGGTTAATTTGCATATTACTTTATGATATAGAATAACATTTAAAAATATTCTAACTTTTTTTCTTAGCTCCTCCCTTCTTTTAAATGGGAAACAGATTCATGTGGCTTATTGGAAAGAATCTGACAAGTTGCTGTTAATTGGCCTGCCTGCTGAAGAGTAAGTTGAGGGTTTTATTTACCTTATGGTCATTTCTCAAATACTGCTAACATAGTTTGTTTCATTAAAATTATGCCATTTTCATTTAATTATGCCATTAAAATTGTCAAAAGGCAAACTCCTTAAACAGCTTCATGATTTAAAGGTCCATTGTACTAGTACAATAACTGTGTGTTCATGTAATGTGAATTTTTGTACATCCATATTTGCAAAACGACCCAGCTTTTCATAATCCAACCCACTGGCTTTGGGCAGTCTCCTATGCTATCTACACTAATAAAAGAGCAAGATGCAAATTGACTGTACCTTCACGATGCCCACCAGCCAAACAGGGGTGAGCATGCAAATTAACCCAACAAAGATGGTGGGTTAATTTGCATATGCAGGCGTCGAGTGGCCAGGGGCGGGGCGGGACACTTGTATTGTCACCATGGTGATGATGCAGGCATTCCGTACTGCCCCAGCCGCTCCGGGCCTCTGGGCAACGTGGGAAGGCGGAAAGACGGCTGAGGCTGGAGCGAAAAGGTGGCTCTAGCCAGAGTGAAGGCGATGCCAACAGCCAGGGAAGGATTCATTCTTGCATGAATCTCCGTGCATCGGGCCTCTAGTTTTATATAAGGGACTTGAGCATCTGTGGATTTTGATATCCATGAAGGGTCCCAGAACCAAAACCTGCAGATAGCTTGAGCATCTTCACAGCATGTCCCTGGGCTTACCCCAGAGCAAGATCCAAAATAGAGAAAGGCGGAAGCTGCAAGGCCTTTTATAACTTAGTTTTAGAATAGAGACGCTATCATTTCCACTATATATACTCATTGTTGGAGTGAGTTACCTCGTCCAGCTCAAGGGGAAGGAATTAAGCTCCATCTCGAGAGGAAGAGTATCAGACAATTTATGGGCATGTTTAACATCATAAACAGGAATTCCAAAGTAGGCTACAGTGAAAAATATTAAATGGATTATGTTTTGAAGGTGACTTCAGTTTTTAACAGAGACATGATCTATCATGAATGTGGGGTTCGGAATTTTAACACCATGGAATAATGGTATGATAAACGCTAAATGATGGCTCTCTTTAACAAACTAATTTGTGTTTTCTATCTAAAAGGGGATGATAGTCGTCCCTTGCTATCTGCAGGGTTTTGGTTTTAGGGACCCTACATGGATAACAAAATCCGCAGATGCTCAAGTAGCTGTGTGAAAGAGCACAGGACCCTGCTGGGAGACTGCCCACGGCCAGTGGGCTGGGCTATGTAAAGCTGGGCTGTTTTGCAAGTGTGGGTTTATAAAAATTGTGGAACATCCATAATAAGATACTTTAGGATAAATCATTTGTCTTTATTTTTTTAGTATCCCAGAAGGCAAAAGAAAAACAAAACACAGAGTCACGAAAAAGGCACCATAGGCCATGAGGGAGGGGAGAGGAAGCCCAGCTAAGGAACTGAGCAGAGGCTACAAACTTGGTCTGCTTCTTTCAGATATGCATCGTTTTATTATGCTAAAAATAAACAAATGTTTTTACCTTTTTCAGAGTTCCTCTTCCTCAGCTAAGGAGTATGATAGAAAATGTTGCCCAAACCTTAAAATTTATGTATGGTTCGTTAGATGGGTAAGTACTTCTTTGAATTGAATCTCAAGTTTTAAGGGCCTGAGCCTAATCACCTCTTGCACTTACTACTATTCCTTCCTTGGCAAGTTAGTTGTTTGAGGTTTTTTTCCCCTCCTCCTTATTTTATCATCATTTACTACTGGCTTTTAATTATAGCTCTAAGCAGTTTTTCATTTCATCCCTTGCTTTTTCTTTTATTGGTCTCATATGTTACTTTAGTGAAATAGTAATGACTCACAATTATATTTTGATTTGATATATTTCTGTAGGAGTAAATGTAAGAGCATTTGTTCGTAACAGAAGGTTTTAAGTGTGTGTGTTTTTATGTGTATTTTTCTGATTATATTATAATATCAGTGTCAAATTTACTATCCTAAAATGTGATACTTCCTTCTAGAAAATTTTTCAACTAAAAATGAACGCACAATTAAAATTTTTAAAAAATCACAATAGACTGTTTAATTTCCTGTGTATCCTTCTGTGTATTTTCTATATAATATGAATACTCTATTTTTGAACACATGTGGGCTCATACTAGATATTTTTTTCTGCCTCTTGCTTTTTTACCTTTTCCCCATAATGTGAGGCATCTTTCTTGATCTGAAGAAGGATAGTTGAGGTAACTGTTCAACATTTTAACAGGTAAAATTATGATGAAAAATAGATTTTTCTCTTTGTGGGATTTTTATAAGTCCCAGTACCTAAATAACTAAAATGATACCTTTTGCTTTCAATGTCTTTAGCGTATATAAATCAATTCCTTTATACACTTTTCCAAACCACAGTAATATCAGCTCTCTGCTTCTCTATGTAGATTTTTGCTATCCCTGTTCTCAAAGCAATCTTAGGGATTTTCTGTGATTGTGCCATCTGGGAAAATTGTCTAGTTTGCAGTGTTCTCCAACAGCTGCTTAAGAGACACTTTCCTTTCAGTTACTTACTTTTGTTAGCATTTTCCAAATGTGTGAACGGCAAAAGGCCAGGCATCCACCAACAAGGCTTTTACCGTTTACCAATGAGGACATTTTTAATCAGTGAAGTATAAGGATGTGGTTATAAACTATCTCTTTAAATTGACACTAGATGAGCAAAGCTTGCTGTTTTTTACCCTAGTTGAAGCTTTCTGTTTTCATAAAACCAGAGATAAAGAATAATCTCCTGCAATAAATCCTATTCATGAAGGTAATCATTTGGAGTTGTTCTGCAGATTTCAATGGTGTGGTTTGGGGGCAGAGGTACTCTTACTTTCTCTGAAGTTCATCTTGAAATTTAGCGTCCTTTGATTTGGAAGTATTTCCAAGGTGGCAACAAAATGAACTAGTTACTTCTTGTCCAAGTGAGAATTTGAAAGGCAAACGATAAATATGAAGATCCACTGAGTTCTTAAAACCAAAAGGCAGTACAGGTCCAATATGTTGTTCATAGTCATTTTGCGATAATTTTTAATAACAGTATTTTTTTCTGATTATGAAAGATAGGAAAGTGCTTATGGAAAGTGATTATATTATAATATCAGTGTCAAAAAAGCACTAATAAACAATTAGTGCTTATACTAATTATATACTAGATAGATAGCATTGAGCCACAGAAAACTGATTGTACATGAACAAAGTTTAGTGTTGTGATAAAATTAAAGATATAACAGTTCCCCTCACCATTCCTAGCAAGTCCATATGAGCCAATCCATCCATTTTCTCCATCTACCCTCTCTAGCCATATTCATCTCTCACTACTGCAGTAAACCCCTAACTGGTTTCCTTGACTCCATTGTTGCCACCTTCATTAGTTTCACTTTTTTCCCCCCAAATTTAATTTTTATTGAATTTATTGGGGTGATATCTTCTATAATAATAAAAGTGTAATATGCTAATTAGATCAGACATCCTCCAGATGAAGCCAGGGCTGCTAGGGAAGCCCAGGTCCCGGGTGCCTGCCTGCTGCCTGAGGGAAGCCCGGTCCCAGGTGCCAGAGGGAAGCCGGTGCTGGCAGCAGAGGTGGGGAGCGGGAGAGGGAGGAAAGCCTACTCTTGCACAAATTTCGTGCATCGGGCCTCTAGTAGGTTAATAAAATTATATAGGTTTCAGGTGTACAATCCTATAATAGAGCATCTGTATATTGCATTGTGTATTCACAACCCCAAGTGGAGTCCACTTTAATTAATTTCCAAATGCAGTTAGAGTGATCTTTCTACATTATCTGGCTCCTACCTACCTTTCTGATTTTGGATCTCAGACCACACCCAGCCCTCTGCTCCGTTCTGTAGGCACCTGGCCAACCTTGCTTCCTCCCTTTGGCTTTTGCACTCTGCTCCCACTGGACCTTCTTGACTTTGGGATCTCAGCTTAAATGCCCCATTCTCAGAGACCCTTCCCCAACCATTGATCTAAAATAGCCAACCAGTTACACCACACATTCACAAGGCCCTGTTCTCTGCACAGTCCTCTGTAAGTGTTCATTTTACTGTTTGTTCACTTGTCTTTCTCCACTACAAGGTGACCTCCAAGGAGCAGAGACCCTGTCTTTTGTCTTGCTATTTTTACTGCTGTACAGTAATAAAAATATCAAGATAAAAGACAAGAATAAAATATCAAGAACACACTAGGCACTCAAGTAATTTGTTGAATGAACTAGTGGGTAGTATTCTGCTAATATTACCAATTATATTATCCAGCGAGCTATTCCAATGAATGTTGCAGGCAATGTTGTATTATTTTACATGGCTAAAACCAAGTTTCTCTCTCTCCCTCTTTTGAGTTTTTCAATAGTTATGCTTTCATTAAAGAGGGGAGGAAATAACTTAGGTTAATTTATGTGCTTACTAAGTAATGAGTCTTATACGTGCTTATACTAATTATATTACTAGATAGTTTGAATGCGAATTAGATTGTACTATCCCTATTTTTATAGAGTTGGAAACAAAGTTCAGAGCAAGGTTAGATTATTTTCCTATGATATCTACCCAGTAAGTGTAGTGATAAGATTCAAAGCCATATCTGTTCTATTACAAAGCTCAAAAATCTCTTTATTTTCCCATATTGTCTGAAGATATTGAGAGTCGTAAATGGCTGATAGTGAGAGATAAAAACAACACATTTTTTACAAAAAGGGGACCTGAACCCATTCTGCTGTAGATATACCACTTGTATTAATGTGGTTCTTCCATAGTACCACTACTCAGTGCATTTGAGAGTAGGTTTTAGGGTAAAAAATATTGACAGGGTAAATTAGCACATTCCATCAGTAACATGATAGCAGTTAATTCTTACTAAGAGACAGGAGTAAGGAAGAGAACTATCTGGTTGGGAAAGATCCAGTCCCCTCAGCAGCACACGATATGACCACCGTCTATTTCCATGTGTTTTTCTAACTTAGAGCTCTCGGTTCTTCAGTGCCTTTTGCCAGGTTGAGAATGTTCCTCGGTTGGATCATTTTTTTGAACTGTTCTTCCAAAGAGCCCTCCAGCCTGCCACGCTGCATGGCAGGGCCAGTGCCAGTGCCCAGCAGTACGAGGCCACCAGTGCGGTTCTTTTAGACAATCTCCCTGGAGTGCGGTGGCTCCCACTTCCACAGGAAATCAAGGTAATCTTAGGTGTCAGAAAGTAAGAATCAGAACCACCTGTTTTTTGTTTTTGTTGTTGTTTGCTTTATTGTCTATAAAGTTTTACATACGTCTCCTTTTTCCCCCCAATCGACTCCCCCAACCCCAGCCATTTCCACCCCCACTGTCCCACTGTCTGTCCATTGGTTATGCCTATATGCATGCATGTAAGTCCTTTGGTTGCTCTCTAACCCCCTCTTCCCCTACCATTTGTCTCTAGATCGATCTATTCTTGTTCATCAAATTATGTTGATCATAGAAGCAGCTGTTTTATAATTCTGTCTTCTATTCTCCCCCCCTCCCCCAAGCTTTTTATTATTTTCAGGATTGTGGGTAAGAGTGAAAAAGGTAATTGGTTGATGAAGCAGGAGGTCCAGTGCAGTGAACTTAGACAAAATTTTTCTTTCTAAATAAAAGTTAGCTCTTTCATTTTATAATATTTAAGCTTTGTCCAAACTTGGATTACTTTTCAGAAATCATAATGATATGTTGTATTCTTATTTGTGAATTTCGTGACTTTGATTTTATAATGTAAGGTTATGTTTCTAGTATGTAAAATAATGGTAAATGAAATTATTGTCTAACAAACAATATTCTTAGTTAAGTATACATTTCCACTAATTATAGCAAAATCTTTCCTTACATGAACATATGTAATCAGCTTTTGCCTTATCCCCTACATAGCTTACCAAGGGTAAGGCTTCATGATGGCTAAGTATCATCAAAGTGATTTTAATCATATCTGCAGACCTAGAATAACTTTACTGATGAATAACTGGAAAGATCATTTCAAAAATTTCCATCACCATTAATGTACTTAGCCACAGCATTTAGATTGGTATTAAACAAGGAACTATGCCATAGCCAGTTCCCTGCCCATGAAGAAACCCTGCCTGATTTAGTAAAAACAAAATTAAGGGTTCCACTCTTCATAAAATTCCTTAATGTACGATCAAATAAATACTTTTTTGACAGTTAGATAATAATTTAAACTGATATATCAATTGCTTTGCTGAATTTTCTTATCTTTAAAATGAGGACAATAATAGTAGCTACTTCATAGAGGAGTTATTTGCTGTTACATGTAAAGTGCTTAGAATCAAGCCTGGCCCATCCTATCTAATAAAGAGGTAATATGCAAATTGACCATCACTCCAACACATAAGATGGCCGCCACAAGATGGCAGGCAGGGAAGGGCAGTTGTGGGTGATCAGGTCAGCAGGGGAGGACAGTTAGGGGGACCAGGCCTGCAGGGGAGGGCAGTTGGGGGGGATCAGGCCTGCAGAGGAGGGCAGTTGGGGGGATCAGGCCTGCAGGGGAGGGAGTTAGGGGCAACCAGTCTAGCAAGGGAGGGCAGTTAGGGGTGACTGGGCCAGCAGGGGAGAGCAGTTGGGGGCAACCAGGCCTGCAGGGTAGGGCAGATAGAGGTGACTGGGAGGGCATTTGGGGGTGACCAGGCCTGCAGAGGAGGGCAGTTGGAGATAATCAAACCTGCAAAGGAGGGTAGTTAGGGGCAATCATGCTGGCAGGGGAGCATTTAGGCTGTCGATAAGGCTGACAGAGGAGTGGTTAAGGGGTGATCAGGCTGGCAGGTAGAAGCAGTTAGGGCAATCAAGCAGGCAAGCAGGTGAGTGGTTGGGATTGTGAGAGGGATGTCCCAGATTGGAGAGGGTGCAGGCTGTGTTGAGGGACACACACCCCGTCCTGTGCACGTAATGCATGCACTGTGTCTCTAGTTGTAGTCATAATTGTAGTGATTAGAGTATTAGTGTATAATTTTTATTTGGGAGGAGGTTAGAGCATATTTACAGGAAACTTTTACTTATTTTTAATTTTTTTTCTTTAGTAATTAAGGTATTAAATATGGGTCCTTAGCCCCCCCCCCATTGCATGCATATAAGTCCTTTGCTTGATCTCTCCCTCTTACTCCTGCCCTCCCCTACCCTCCTCTGAGATTTGATGGTCTGATTGACGCTTCTTTGTCTCTGGATCTGTATTTGTTCATCAGTTTATATTGTTCATTATATTCCACAAATGAGTGAGATCATGTGATATTTATCTTTCTCTGCCTGGCTTATTTCACTTAGCATAATGCTTTCCAGCTCCATCCATGCTGTTGCAAATGGTAAGAATTCCTTCTTTTTTACCGAAGTGTAGTATTCCATTGTATAGATGTACCACAGTTTTTTAATCCACTCATCTACTGATGGGCACTTAGGCTGTTTCAAAATCTTAGCATGGTAAATTGTGCCACTATGTATTTTACATAGGGGTGAATATATCCTTTCTGATTGGTGTTTCTAGTTTCTTGGGATATATTCCTAAAAGTGGAATCACTGGATCAAATGGAAGTTCCATTTTTTTGTTTTTTGAGGAAACTCCATACTATTCTCCTCAGTGGCTACATCAGTCTGCATTCCCACCAGCAGTGCACTAAGGTACCTTTTTCTCCACATCCTCGCCAGCACTTGTCGTTTGTTGATTTGTTGATGATAGCCATTTTCTGACAGGTGTGAGATGGTACCACATTGTCATTTTGATTTGCATCTTGGCCTTCCTTCTGTCTTCTTTCGAAAAGTATCTCTTTAGGTCAATTGCCCATTTTCTGATTGGGTTGTTTATCTTCCTTTTATTAAGTTGTATGAGTTCCCTGTAAATGTTGGAGATTAAACTCTAATCAGTGATTACATTGACAAATATATTCTCCCATGAAATGAGCTTTCTTATTGTTTTGTTGATGGTTCTTTTGCTATACAGAAGATGTAATCCATTTGTTTATTTTCTCTTTTGTTTCCATTGCCTGAGGAGCTGTATTGATGAAGATACTGCTTCAGCATATGTCTGAGATTTTGCTGCCTGTGGATTCCTCTCGTATTTTTATGGTTTCTCGTCTTATGTTTAAGTCCTTTATCCATTTTGAGTTTATTTTTGTGTATGGTATAAGTTGGTGGTTTAGTTTCATTTTTTTTGCATGAATCTGTCCAATATTCTCAACACCACTTATTGAAGAAACTGCCTTGACTCCATTGTATATTCTTTTCTCCTTTGTCAAATATTAATTGAGCACAGTGGTTTGGGTCAATTTCTGAGTTCTCTTTTCTGTTCCATTGGTCTATCTGTCTTTTCTTGTGCCAGTACCAGGCAGTTTTGAGAACAGTGGCTTTGTAATACAGTTTGATATCTGGTATTGAGATCCCTCCTACTTTGCTCTTCTTTCTCAGGATTGCTGCAGCTATTTGGGGTCTTTTTTTATTCCAGATGAATTTTTGTAGAGTTCATTCTAGGTCTGTGAAATATGCCGTTGGTATTTTAATGGGGAGTGCATTGAACCTATAAATTGCTTTGGGTAGTATGGACATTTTAATGATGTTGATTCTACTAATCCATTATTATACTATGTTCTTCCATCTGTTTCTGTCTTCCTCTATCTCTTTTTTCAGTGTCCTGTAGTTTTCCAAGTACAGGTCTTTTACCTCCTTAGTTAAGTTTATCTCTAGGTATCTTAATTTTTTGGTGCAATGGTAAATGGCATTGTTTTTTTAATCTCTCTTTATGTAAGTTCACTATTGATTTATAAAAATGCCATAGATTTCTTGGTATTAATTTTATATTGTGCTATATTGCCAAATTTATTTATTAAGTTTAACAATTTTTTGATGGAGCCTTTACGATTTTCTATGTACAGTATCATGTCATCTGTGAATAATGACAGTTCTGCGTCGTCTTTTCCAATTTGAATACCTTTTATTTCTTCTTGTCTAATTGCTATGGCTAGCACTTCTAGAACTATGTTGAACAGGAGTGGTGAATGTGGGCAACCCTGTCTCATTCCTGTTCTTAGGTGAAATGATTTTAGTTTTTGCCCATTGGATATGATGTTGCTGTAGGTTTGTTATATAAGGCTTTTATTATGTTGAGGTATGATCCCTCTATTCCCACATTGCTGAGAGTTTTTATCAAGAAAGGGTGTTGGATTTTGTCAAATGCTTTTTCTGCATCAAGTGATATGACTATGTGATTTTTATCTCTCAATTTGTTTATGTTATGTATCAGTTAATTCATTTGTTGATATTGTACCATCCTTGCATCCCTGGAATAAATGCTACTTGGTCATGTTGTATGATCTTTCTGATATAATGCTGGATGATCTGCTAAATTTTGTTGAGGATTTTGGCATCTATGTTTATGAGGGATATTGGCCTATAATTCTCTTTCATTGTGTCGTATTTATCTGGTTTGAGTATTAGGGTAATGCTGGCTTCATAGAATGAGCTTGGAAGTGTGCCTTCCTCTTGAATTTTTTAGAATAGTCTGAGGTTTTAGTTCTTCCTTGATTGTTTGGTAAAACTCCCCTGTGAGGCCGTCTGGCCCCGGGATTTTGTTTGCTGGAAGCTTTTTGATGACTGCTTCAATTTCTTCCATAGTTATTGGCCTATTGAGATTTTTAGATTCTTCCTGATTGAGTTTAGGAAGATTATATTTTTCAAGGAATCTGTCCATTTCATCTAGGTTGTCTAGATTGTTGGAATAGAATTGTTCATAGTATTTTTTAACAATCCTTTGTATTTCTGTGGGGTCTGTAGTTATTTTGTCTCTTTCATTTCTGATTTTATTTGGGTCCTCTCTCTTTGCTTCTTGGTGAGCCTGCCATTTTTTCTTAATTTAGCACACATTTATTAAGAGGAATGTATGTTTTTATTTATCTCAACCTAAAAGAATATTGAACTGAAATCTCCCTCTGTGAATTATGGTATATATTTTTTAATTTGTGGCCTCAGTCATACCAATTGCTAGTCTTTAGTTGCTTCTATCCTTGTTAAGTCTAACACTGCTGTCTGGAGACCCATCTTCATTGTGCCAGGTACTCAGATTTGTGTTGTGTTTTGGGGAATACAGAAAAATCTCCTCTGGAAGCTTACAGTTCAGTTGGGTAGGCGAGATTAATACACAGGAAACACTGAGGACATAGCTTAGACTTTTTCTATATTTTGTAGTCTGGTTAAGAAAAGTAAGAACAAAATTTCTGGAAAATGAGGTAGACATCTTCTATAAAGTGATCTAAAGGTCTCTAGTGAATGTAAAGTTTTAAAAACTAGTAACCCTTAAAATTACCAGCAAACTCAAAGAATTACACACTTCTCTTTGAAATTGCTGTGTTAAAAAATAGTAGTGTTTAGTGACTATATAAAAATATTAAGGATTTTTATGCCGTGGTCAAAACATCTAGCCCTGGCCAGTATGACTCAGCTGGTTGGAGCTTTGTCCTGTACACCAAGAAGTGTCAGGTTTGATTTATGGTCAGGGCACAAACGCAGGTTGCAGGTTAAATTGCCAGTCGGAAAGCATGCAGGAGGCAGCTGATCAATGTTTTTTTCTCACAGAGATGTTATTCTCTCTCTCCCCTCTTCTCTCTGAAATCAATTTTAAAAATATATAGTTGAAAACATATGCATGTGAGCTTACTTATAACTAATAAATTTAGGTGGAAAGTTATTTTAACTTAGAAAAAAACTTAAACTTGTTCTCAGTTTAGTTTACAGTGAGGGATTCAGTGTTCTTCCCAGGTGTTTGTAATTTTGCTTTTTTTGTTTTTTTGTCAGATCTTCTGTGTGTGTTTGTTTTTTTAAATCATTTTTTTCCTAAGGTACATTGGAATAATTAAGAGAAAAGATACTTTACCTTTTCTCTTAAGGAATATGATGAAACAATTATAATAACCTGGTACATTAGCCTATATATAGAGTTCTGTAACAGGAACAGCAACCCATTAAACAGTAATGTTTCTGAAATAAAAAATCGCAAGTGGATAACTTTCTTTTTGTCCTGTTGTTTTTCCCAGCTGCAGAAATGAGAGCATGAAGTATTTGCTAGATGAATAAAAATGTAGGTCACAAATGAGTAATAAGTCATTCTGTGTGAAAAGCAATGAAAGCATGACTAATGTTTCCAAAGCTTTTGTCAACTCAATAAGACACAGTTTGTGAAACAGTCCTGCAGAGAGTGCCTTGGACTTTTTTTTTAAAGAGGATTATTTTTCACAAATAGCATATATACTACAAACTTTCATTGCCAATAGATTTTCATTTATGTATATGCATTACAGATTAAACTGCTAAGTTTATTGTTTTTAAATTGTGAATGCTTTAGGGAGAAAAAGAAATACATGAAGGAGTTTAGGCAATTTCCATAGAAACAAAAGCCAAACCCTACGTAAAAGGTTTTTCTAATAACTCTGTAGGGTAGATAAGCTGTGCCAGATTTCAAGAGGACACCTGCCTTCATGTTTTAATCCATGAATAATTATTAACAGTCCTTTTATATAAAACAGTAGAGGCCTGGTGCACGAATTTGTGCACATTGAAAGGAATTTAATTAGAAGGTGTCCGGTGGGGTAGGACAGGGCAAGCCAAGGCAGACATGCCCTGGAGCCAACCTCCCACAGGCGGGGCTGTCTGCAGAGTGAGTGGGGTCCCTCTGGCCTGTGGGGGTAGGACTGAAACCAGCTCTCCAACATCCCCTGAGGGGTGTCAGATTGTGAGAGGGCGGTTCTCAGGTGATGCACCAAAGAATCGGGCTCCCTTCTTTCTGTTTTGGAGTATGTTACTCGAGAACCTCAGCTGCAAAGTCCCTGCAGCTCTTGCTTGGTCAGTGCATGTCATAGCTAGGAATCGACGCATCTGCCCCTTTCTGGTCATACGTGTATCATAGCTACTGGTCAGTCACTTAGGCTTTTATAAAGATAGGTGGGAGAGAGACAGAAGAAAATGTTGATATTTTCTAAGAATCCATCTGTTGAGAAATATATGGGAAACAGAAAAATAAAAACAGCTCAAAATAGATTAGTTACATTGTGATTGAATTTTTCCTCTTAAGAATTTTATTATGTTAAAATTTTTTCTAACTTAAAGCAATTTTTAACTCTCATAAGTTATCTTAAATTGAATTCAGAAGGAAGCCTCGTTTTCAGTTGAGATTTAATTGAAAAATGCCTATATGTTAAATTAATTTTTTTTGTAATTGCAAAGCTTAAAAACAAGATGTTCTATTTGGGACTGTTGTGTTTGTTTGTTTTTAACATGTTCTTATTGATTTCGGAGAGAAGAAGGGAAAAGGAGAGAGATATAAAGTCATCAATGATGAGGGAATCACCAGTTGGCTACCTCCTATACACCCCCTACTGGGGATCGTGCCTGCAACCCAGGCATGTTCCATGACTGGGAATCGAACCAGTGACCTCCTGGTTTACAAGTTGATGCTCAACCACTGACCCACAGAGGTTGGGAGGGACAGTACTTAAATAATACAAAGGAGAAAGATACTTATTCAATTTTTTAAGTAATTATTAAACACTTTTATATGGCCATGATTTCAAAGTAATTATGAGTTAATTGTCTGTGTTACTTTTTTTTTCTCCCCACACAGATGGAATTAGACACAGCATTGAGTGATCTGGAGGCTGCAGATTTTGCAGAACTGGTAAGAGAAGCAGTAAGTTTTAGGAAAGACAATATTGATTTCTCATTTTGTAAATCAGTAATTCTAAAAATATTGCAAGTGGACATGCAATACTCTTGAAATACATAACATTAGGTCTCTATTTTAACAAGGGCAAGTCTGTTTTGCTCACCTTAATATTTTCTACTCAGTTGAACATTGACCTATGAACCGGTTCAATTCCTGGTCAGGGCACATGCCCAGATTGCAGGCTCAATCCCCAGTGTGGGGCATGCAGGAGGCAGCTGCCCAGTGATTCTCTCTCATTCTTGATGTTTCTCTTTCTCCCTCCTTTCCTTCCTTTCTGAAATCAATAAAAATATTTTCTAAAAAAACATTTGTACAGGACATACGTGTAAAGATTAATCACATCGGTATCATTAAGAACTGGGCTTTGTGAGACATGATATACATGTAATGTTGATTAAGTAAAAATCCTAAAGATCTGGATTTATATTGAAAGTATAAATATGGTTTTTAATCTTAAAAAAAACACAAGTGTGTTTCCTAGTTCTGTCCAGGGAAAAGGCCTAGAAATCGTGATCATCCCCACTAGTAAGGAAGACCACTAGCACCCAGGCCATAGTGCATAAGTAATATTTCTTGCTACAAGAAACCGTGACTCCTAAGGGAAATCACTGGATCCAGAGTAGGGCCTGAAAATAAACACGTGTACCACCAGGAGTGCCATTTTAACAAAAACTAGATCATAGTGGTATTTTATTCTGTAGCTTGCATTCTTTGCAGCACAGTATATTCTAAAACATTTTGTGACTGCTCTGATATGAAACTGTGTTATGACTATATCTAATTTTGTTAACCATTCCTACTGCTTAAAAAAAAAATCACTTTCAATTTTTGCATATTATAAATAATTCTATTAAAAAATGTATGTTTTTAATTTTTTTTTTACATACCACTCAGTGGCCCCCAAAAAGGTTATACCAATTTGTACTTTCAAAAATAATATATGTTAATATTAAATATCATAGATGATGTGTAGGTAGATGCTTTTTGTCTTGATACCCTTATTTTAATCCCTTGTGGTGTCACAAATCTTATGCTTATATTTAGATTCTCTAATCAATAGTTTCTTATAAGAATTAAAAATAAAACTGTTTTAAATCAAAATACTTATTTTGCACACTATCTTTCACCCTAATATCCTAGTATATTTATTTCTAATAAAGGCACTGTAAAAATGTTCAGTTACTAAAGAATATAATTGTCGTTTTAACTGTTATTGCTTAACTAGGATTTTTTTTAATCCACTGTGGTTTTATCGTCCCCAGTCTGAGGATTACTATGACATGAGGCGGCTGTATACAATTTTAGGGTCTTCTCTGTTCTACAAGGTAAGCTGAAGCTTGAATCTTTATAAATATCCAACTGCTATATGACCTAAATTTTCTCAAACTTTTACAGACATGAAAAATGTTTCTATCTCTTTTCCTCTAAATGTAGGTACCCTAAAACTAAGATCTTAAAATAAAACTTGTACCTAGACATTAAATATTTTTGGTTTCATTGCGTTTTAAAGCATTTGTAAATTAGTAAAGAAGAAACTATACTCAAAGACCCAAGTGTGTGAGAAAGGGGAGAGTGCTCTCTGGATTTCCTTTTGCAGTAGTATGCTTGTTTATCTTCAGACTCACTATGCATCTTTTTAATGAATCTTTTTACATTAAGTAGTTAACGTCCACGTAAAGAAAGTTAAATATCAAGAGGCATGGATACATGGAATAGACTAACAGCTGTCAGGGGGGACAGGGGCAGGACTGGATGAATAAAGGTAAAGGATTAGTCAGAGAACATATATGCATAACCCACAGACACAGTGCCGTGACGGTCAGAAAAAAGGGAGGCTGAGTAGAGGTGGGTGGGAGTCGAGGAGGAATGAAAACACCTGTAATAGTGTCCGCAATAAAAATAACGTACTTTTAGAAAGAAAGTTAAGCGTCAAGTGATTTTAAGTGTTTTCATTTTTCAACTCCTCGTTCTCTGCTTTCCATCCTCAGAATTCAGTTCTATTCTCATTTTGCCATTCAGGCTTCTATTCAGAGATAATCTTGTTTTGTGCTACCATCTACCTGCAGTAGACTTAAGTTATCATGAATATTTGATGTCTAGTTGACCTCAGTGAGTGGAGGGGCTTATTTTTACTCTGTCTTAAAACTGGAATATTTTAAACCAACTGAAGAAATACCTATAAAACTCTTAGAAATGTATTAGGGGATTATTGCTCCATACCACTGGTTGACTTTTGTTCTTTGTGGTTAAATTCAAGGGTTATTTGATATGCAGTCATTTGCCTAAGGATGATCTTATTGATATTGCTGTATATTGTCGCCACTATGGCCTACTGCCTTTAGCAGCAAAACAAAGAATTGGACAGTTGATAATATGGAGAGAAGTGTTTCCTCGACATCATCTCCAACCTTCTACAGATTCAAACACTGAAGTCTTTCAGGAACCTGAAGGGAGATATTTTTTGCTAATTGTGGGCTGGGTGAGTTGTCTTGGTTTCTTTCTTGATTTTTTGTTTTGTTTTTGCCATTATGTAAATAAATACACAAATATGATCATTTAAAATTATGAACATTTCAAATATCGGTATTCAAAAATGTTACTGCCCCTTACTCCTTTTTTTTTTTTTTTAGCATCTATTTAATATCCATGGAGAAATATTAATGAAACCCAGAATAAGATTTTAGCAGATTCTTGAGATCTTTTGTTTCCATTTTTTTAATATATATTTTTATTGATTTCAGAGAGGAAGGGAGAGGGAGAGAGAGATAGAAACATCAATGATGAGAGAGAATCGTTGATCAGCTGCCTTCTGTGTACCCCACACTGAGATCGAGCCCGCAATCCAGGCATGTGCCCTGACCCAGAATCAAACTGTGAACTTCTGGTTCTTAGGTCGATGCTCAACCACTGAGCCATGCTGGCTGGGCTTGTTCTCATTTTTATAGTGGTTTTATCCTCTGATTTGTTTTGGGAAATAGAGGGAAACATAAAAAGAATATAGAATCAGAGTAGATATGTGATTATAAATGAAAGGACTTCTAGTAATTGAGGCTCTTAGAAAACTTCCTTAGGGAATTCCATGTGCCTAAGGTAGTGACTGATGGTATATCAGGATAAGGCACTATGAGATTTGTTTTCAAGGGTGATCAAGAAGCACCGAGCATATCAAAGAAGGAAAGGGGAGGGAGGAATTTTTAATAATCATCATATGGCTATGCCATATGCCTACATGTCTTCAGTATTCATAAATGGATACATGTATATTGCATATAAATATCTTCATGTGGCTAAATCTGTACTAATGACCTTTTTTCTTACAGAGGCATTATATGTTGTGTGTACTGTTAGAAGCTGGAGGCTGCTCATCCAAAGCTATTGGGAACCCTGGGCCAGACTGTATATATGTGGATCAGGTCAGAACAGCTCTTCACCAGCTGGAAGGAGTAGGTTGCCGCCTAAATGAACGGCTGGCATCTTCTCCAAGCCCCTGCTTATCTTGTGCTGACTGGTTCCTTGCCGGATCACATGAAAAATTAGATTGTTTGACAACCTCTCCTATCCTCAGTAGGCTGCAAGGAATTTCCAAAGCAGCAACCTCTCCAACCTGCAGAAGAACTCTTTTTGGTGACTATTCCTTAAAAACACGTAAGCCCAGTCCTTCGCGAAGCAGTGGGGGATCTGACAGCGGCTGTGAAGGTGGAGAAGGTGTTGGCCCGAGTCCCCACACTACACCAGATGCAGTACGGAGGCAAAGAGACTCTGATGGCTTGGAAGAAAGTGGGGCCATGCTTAAGGTGTGTGTGCGTTCAAGTGTGTACATTCTGGGAGCTAGGCTATCTTTCCAGTCCTTATTTTATAACTGGGATAGAATTTTTTAAAGACATTTTTATTGATTTCAGAAAGGAAGAGTGAGAGAGACAGAGACAAAGGGAGAGTGACAGAGAGAGAGACAGAGAGAGACAAAGACAGAGAGAGTGACAGAGAGAGAGAGACAGACAGAGAGAGAGCAACATCAATGATGAGAAAATCATTGACCGGCTGCCTTCTGCGCGCCCCACACTGGGGAGCGAGCCTGCAACTGCGGCATGTGCCCTGACCCGGAATCGTTCAACCGCGGCATGTGCCCTGACCCGCCAGGTTCATAGGTCGACACTCAACCTCTGAGCCATGCTGGCTGAGATGGAAGGTTTTTTTTTGGTGGGGGGGGATAGAAATTTTAAAATGTCAGATCATTCTTCATTTGAACTGGCGGTTGTTTTAGTCACTATTGGAAAACCAATGATTTAGCAACCAAAAGGATAGGAAATAATAAGTAATATCCAGGACGTCTGCTTTGACACTACTGACAAGAAGGGAAACTTTAACTCTGCTTTCCCTGTTCATCTCACTTTTCTCTGTTTACGATATTAATGAGGAACAGCCTAGTTATGGGGCATTTAGGGGGTGATCAGACTAGCCAATAAAATGTTTTTTTGGGGGAAAATCAGTAACTTAAAATATGTGTGTGTGGTGTTCTGCGTTTTTATAAATTTTTAATAATCCGCACCTGTGAAGGTCTGGTCTCCATATCAAGAATTGAAAGTGAGACTATTAAGCTAAGAGAATGTTCATTTTTCAGACTGCTTATCATATTTTATGCATTTTTTTCCATGAAAATACTATATTATATCTAAATAATTATCAAAATAATCACCCTGGAAAGCTTTCTACCTATTCTAATGATGTTGCTTTTTTAAAACATTTTTGAAAATTGTCATTCAGGTGGATGGAAGTGACGAAGGAGGAGTCTGAGAAGGGGCAAGAATAAAATGAGACTCTGTGTATCACGGCACAAATAGTCATAGGTTTTTATCTTCCAATTCCAAATAATAGAGCACTCTTGGAGCCCTAAGTGGATATGTTTAGGAAGTGTTCACATATGTACTGTACTTATTATCATAGATAGTGAAATTGGTAGGAAATAAAGTTTAAGGCTATTTGGAAAGAATTAAGAAGCCATGAACAACTAAAAAAAAAAAAAAACTTAATTAATTTCTAAGATTTAGCTATTCAACAACTGTTGATTGAACACCTATCTGCCCAGGTTTATGCTACACAAAAGAGATAGATTCAATGGTGAATAACATACAGCCGCTACCTTTGAGGAGTATGGTTTGGAGAGGGAGACAAATACACATATATACAAATTATAACAAAACTTGGTAAAGGCTCCATAATGGCTGTGGTAGAAGGTTTCTGGGGAGAACTTTCATTTGCTCCTATGACATGGTCTGGGTCAAAGGATAAGCCAAGAGGCACAAGTTAGCATAGACAATATATAAAGGTAACATTGCAAAAACATAAATAGCTCTCTTAGAAGGATATTTAGATTTCACATTATTTCTATTTCATTCCATTCTCAGGCATAAAGTGATCTACTGAACTATATTTTTCAGGTCACTAAAAAGAAGTCTACTCTTCCAAATCCATTTCATTTGGGAAACTTGAAAAAGGAACTTTCAGAAAAAGAATTGGAAATATATAACACATTGAAGTAAGAAACTTCCTTATAATATTCTTTTTCACTTAAACTCTTGACTTCAAGGATATTTTACAATGAGAATGTATAAGTCCATAACATGTAGAGATTTTATTCAGTAATTGTAATAACCAGTATATCTTAAATACCAAATGTATACTATTTCTCTAATGTTCTTCATTACACAATAGGAAACATACTCATATTATCCTATTTAATAAAGAGGGAATATGCAAATTGACCATCACATCATCACAAAGATGGCTGCACCCAGTCCCCTCAGCCCCATTGGAATCCCCCAGTCCCTTTCGCCCCACCTGGGGATGGAGTGGTAGGTATATGGTTTGGGCGGACCCCTAGCTGCCCAGGGCCGGCCTGAGGTGCAGGCAAGCCTTGGATTGTGGCTTCCCAGCTGACACTTGAGGCACAGGCAAGTCTCATATGGCAGATGCCCAGCCACTTAAGGTCGCCTGAGGCTCGGGTAACCAGGGCCAACCAAGGCTTACACTGCTGGCAGTGACAGCAGCATAGGTATGATGGGGGTGTCGCCTTCCCCGGATCCCCGGGTCACCTCCTGCTCCTAAGAGCTCCCAGACTGTGGAGGGACTCCCCTCCAGTGCATGAATTTTCATGCACCGGGCCTCTAATCCTATATAATAAAAGCCTATTATGCTAAGTGTCCAGTTGTCCATTCAGCCAATCAAAAGCATAATATGCTAATGATATGCTAAGGCCATTCAACCGCTCTCTATGACATGCATTGACCACCAGGGAGTAGACAGCTGACTAGTCAACCAATTGTTGTGACATACACTGACCACCAGGGGGCAGATGCTCCAACCAGTAGGTTAACTTTCTGCTGGGGTCCAACAGATCATGACTGAGCAAGATGGGCCGGACACACCTTGGAGCCCTCCCTCGGCCCCTCTCCCTGGCCAGCCCAATCTCCAATTGGCCCCCAAAACCCTGATCAGGGGCGGGGCTGGCAAGCCAACAGCCCTGCGGCCCCTCCCCCAGCCAGCACCACCCTCAATGGGCCCCCATTGGGGCAGGCCTGTCAGACCCCAACCATACACAAATTCGTGCACCAGGTCTCCAGTAAGAGATAAAACACATACAACCCAAGCCTGTTTTGCTCCGTGGTTGGAGCATCAGCTGCCAACTGAAGGGTCATGGTTTCAATTCCAGCCAAGGGCAGATATTTTGGTTGCAGACTTAATGCCCAGCCCTGGTCCCAGGTGTATGCGAGGGCAGCCAGTCAGTGTTTCTCTCTCTCTCTCCCTTCCATTCTCCTTGAAAAATTAATGGAGAAAGTATCCTCAGGTGAGGATTCTTAAAAAGACATACAAAATAATAGTTCAAAATGTGAAAGCCACCCTTTCTCTCTCTTTGACAGGTAACCTCCCTTTTGTGTGTCTAATTTTTAAAATAGAGTTTACTATTTTTAGGTTCTGGTATGCTGTGGTATGCTGCTCAGATACTCCTTCTCCCAGAGTGCTCATTCCAGTACCTCACAGAGACAATGGAGGCAGTATTCAGGCTAAGAGCTGAAATATGCCTTTTCCTTGCCTCTGTGCTCATGGCTGGAAAAAAAAAATCAACTGAAGAAATATTTTACTATAGATATCAGAATTAAAATGGGGCAGCCTGAATATTTGAGATGCTGATGGGAAACTGCAGCCTATATATTTAAAGACTGTAAAAGAAAGCAAGGTATAATATATCAAGTTACAGAGTCAGCTGAGCTCTGCCACTTAGCTATGTGACTTCAAGGAAGTTAACCCAAGTCCTCTGAACATTGATTTCTTCATGGCTAAAACAAGGACAGTAATATTTACTACGCTGCAGGGTCATGGTGAGAATTTAAAGCATCTACCCTGGCACTAGAAGGGTATTCAGTATATTATTAGTATAGGTTCTGCTGGCCTGTTTGAGGCCTAAATATGGGATGAAAGGATAAAGAAGAAGAAAGAAGAAAGGAGAAATGAAAATACTAAGAGAATACAGAAGAGAAGTAAGACTATTAATGAGAAATAGAATACAACTAGTAATTGCCATGGTATTCTAGAATATTAACCCAACTCTGCAGTTGGTAATAATTTTATTTTTCTTCAAGATCATCAATTTAACTACCATGATAAAAGGCTTTAATCTGCTAACTAAAATGTATTAGTTTGTTGGAAGATATTTCTATATGTGATCCACCCTTGACTGATAGCATGTTTATGGCTTGTGGAGATCTGGGCCAGACATGGGCTAAGTTATTTATTACTAACCATGGAAAAAAACGTTCCCTGCAAAAGTCAGTTTTGGTTGTGTAGTAAAGAGGTGAATTAAGTTACCTGCAAGTGAATTGGTGTTTGTTTACCCTTGCATAACATGTAATACTTTCCTCCCTTAGGGAATTGATAATAACTCTAGTCTGTACTTCAGTTAAAGAGGAAGAGAATTAAATAAGGGAATGAAATGTTTGGCCTACTTTTCCTTCCCTAATTAGACTCCTAATATTATCTATATATATAAAAGGCTAAATGACCATTCAACCTATAGCTATGACATGGAATGACCCCCAGGGGGCAGACACTCTGACTGGTAGCTATGATGCACACTGACCGCCAGCGGGCAGACACGCTCAACACAGGAGCTGCTGAGCTGTGGAGGGAACCTGATTCAGGATGCATCACCCAAGAACCGCCCTCTCACAATCTGGAACCCCTTGGGGGATGTCGCAGAGCCAATTTCAGCCCCATTCCTACAGGCCAGGCTGAGGGACCCCACCTGCCAGAGGGACCCCACTCATTCTGCAGTACTGCCCCAGGTGTGGCCGGCCAGGGAGGGACTGCAGAGGCTGGCCTGTCTCGCCCAGTCCCACCCCGCTGGCCACCTTCTAATTAATTTCCTTTCAATGTGCACAAATCCGTGCAGCAGGGCATTAGTATTGTAGATTCTGGTTAGGAATCTACTTATTAGGAAAATACTTATTAGGAATCTACACAATTCAAAATAAAGCAATGTGTTTACCTTCACTTAAATATCTTCTCCTCCCCCCCCCCCCCACAAGATTGACGTCTGGGCCTGAGAACACACTTTTCCACTATGTTGCTTCAGAAACAGTACAAGGGATCTTTATCACACCTACTCATGAAGAAGTGGCCCAGTTGAGTGGCTCTATCCACCCTCAGCTAATAAAGAATTTCCATCAGTGTTGTCTCTCCATTCGTGCAACTTTTCAACAGACCTTGATGGAAGAGGTAAAGCACTGCTATAAATATAGCTTTTTGCCAGTTTCATTTCTCTCTCTCTAAATGTTCTCTCTAAAAACTCTTTAATTAATATATCCAGCTATGGAAATTCTCAAAACAAGAAAGTGGCTTCTGGATGTATTCTGGAGGGTAAGCCAGAAGGGTTTGTTGATGGATTATATAAGGATTATGAGAGAAAGAACAACTAAGGATCACTCCACTATTTTGACCTGAGCCTCACAAAAAAATATTTATAGTTCACATAATTGATTGCTTTGCTAGTGATTTTATGAATGGGAAATTTATAAAATTTAGAGAGATACTAAATCCGTTTTAAGTTTAATGTATTTTAAGTATATTATAAAATTATCTGTTTATTTACTAATCTACTCAATAATCTACTCATTATTAATATATTCATTAAATACCTACTATGAACCAACAACTTAAAAAAAAAAATACTACAGCTCTCGCTGGTTAGGCTCAGTGGATAGAGCTTCAACCTGCGTACTGAAGGGTCCTGGGCTTGTTCCGCTCAAGGGCATGCACCTCAGTTGCAGAATCCTCCCTGGCCTAATCCCTGGTTGGGGCACGTGCAGGAGGCAACCAATCGATGTGTTTCTCTCACATCAATGTTTCTCTCTGTCTTTCCCTTTCTCTCCCACTGTCCCAAAAAACCAGTGGGAAAATATCCTTGGGTGAGGATTATTAAAAAATATATATATATATATATACTACAAAGATGCTCTGGCCAGTTGCCAGTGGTGAGAGCTTCGGCCTGTGGGCTGAAGGATCTCGGGTTTGATTACTGGTCAAGAACATGTACCTGGGTTGCAGTTCAATCCCCACCCAGTTAGAGTGCATGTGGGAGGCATCCAATCGATGTGTCTGTCTTCTCTATCTGATGTTTCACTCTTCCCCTCTCTCTTTCCTCTTTCCTCTCTTCCCCTCTCTCTAAAAAAATAAATAAATGAGGAAAAAATATTCATGGGTGAGGATTAACAACAAAAATACAAAGATGACTAGTATATTGTCTCTGCCTGGAAAAGAAGCTTATCCCATCCTGGGGAAGAAAGATCTATAAACTGCTAATATAATATAACATAAATATTAATACAGGACTATGAACAAAATGCTCCCTGCAAAAGTCAAGGGATACTTTATCTGTGAAGTCTTTTATAGGAGACGGTATTTAACATGTGAGAAAGAGTAGAAATTTTCCTGCAGTTAAGAACGTTATTGCAGGCTCTTAAGTGCTAGGATCAGCACTATTAATACCAGGTAATGCTAATAATACCTATTTATTTACAGAAAAAGAAAGCATTAAACACTGCAGATCATTCAGGGTCTACAAATTCGTTGTCTTCTCTAAACCCTGTGAAAGAACATGGGGTGTTATTTGAATGTTCACCTGAAAACTGGACTGACCAGAGAAAAGCACCACCAGTGATGGCTTATTGGGTAGTAGGGTAAGTGGAAAAAAGTATTTGAAAGTGAAGTAAAATGTTAGAAAAGTGAAAGAAATATGGTAAAGGAGATAAAGATTTAGGATGTAGGCATGAAATTTTTAATCTAACTATAATATTTTAATATTATTTTAGAACTTTATTTTATTTGCTAAGTATCTCTTTTAAATTCCTCCCAAATCTTTTTTATTGAAAACAAATATCTTGCTCTGGCCAGTTTGGCTCAGTGGACAGAGCATCGCCCTGTAGACTGAAGAGTCCCAGTTCAATTCTAGCCAAGGGTACATGCCTGGGTTGCAGCTCAATCCCCTGGGGGCATGCAGGAGCAGCCAATCAATGGGTCTCTCTCATCATTGATGGTTCTCTCTCTCTCTCTCTCTTCCTCTCTGAAATCAATAAAAATATACCCTTTTATTAGTATAGATTTAGTAAATGGAACTGTGCTTGGCAAACTGGTGGTAGGTGGGTGGTGTGGCAAACAGAAAGATAAAGTCATACCCACTGTATCTAGCAGTCTTACGTCTACCCTGTTTCCCCAAAAATAAGACAGTGTCTTATATTAATTTTTCTCCCAAAGTTGCGTGAGGTCTTATTTTCAGGGGATGTCTTATCTTTCCATGCGCTAGGTCTTATTTTCAGAGGATGTCTTATTTTCGGGGAAACACGGTAGCAGAAATATGAACTATGCTCATAGAACTATACATTTATGAATATTCTAGAGGGCTGATTCGTGACATTCATGCAAGAGTAGGCTCCCCTCCCCCCAGCTGCTGGCACCAGCTTCCCTCTGGCACCCAGGACCTGGGCTTTCCTCCAGCCACCAGCAGGCACCTGCAAGGAACTTGGGCTTCTCTCGCAGCCCTGGCTTTATCTGGAAGGATGTCTGAAAGGATAAATTACTCTTCTATTATTATAGAACTTAATTGATGGTATCACCATTGGCTTTATCATAATAATAATGACTAAATTTAATATTTAAAACAGGGAGATGGTAAAACATATTGGTAAAATAGGCTTTTTACACTGTAGAAAAATAAAAATAATTTACCTAAGGCACTTTTAAATAATTTATTTAAAAGTAAATCTAGCTGCATTTCCCTCTACTATAGATTTGGATTAGTGTTTTACTTTATTACTGGTACTTTCAGAAACAAAATATAAATAAAATAAAATAAAATGAATAGAAAGTTTTTATTTTTCTTTGTTATTTGAATTTCTAAAATAAATGTTTTCTTTTTCTCTACAGGAGACTCTTTCTCCATCCCAAAATTCAAGAACTTTATGTCTGTTTTCATGACTCAGTTACAGAAATTGCCATTGAAATGGCTTTTAAGCTGTTCTTTGGATTGACCTTGTAACTGTGTTCTTGCTACACAACACCACTGCACAATAAGAAGCACTGAACAGTTTTAGGATTGCTGAAATGCATACACAGAAGATGCTGTTTAGTTCCTTTTCACTGAACATAATATTGTTAAATATTGAGGTCATATGTTGTTGGATTTGATGCGCTAGATCTTAATTAGTATTGTGAGACTTTTTAAATTTAATATATTTTATTGATTTTTTACAGAGAGGGATAGAGAGTAAGAAACATCGATGAGATAGAGACATCAATCAGCTGCCTCTTACACACCCCCTACTAGGGATGTGCCCGCAACCAAGGTACATGCCCTTGACCGGAATCGAATCTGGGACCTTTCAGTCTGCAGGCTGCCGCTCTGTCCAGTGAGCCAAACCAGTTTTGGCTATTGTGAAACTTTTGAAAAGATACTTGATCAAAATATGAAGAAGCAGTTGTTAACTTATTTCCATTTTGGTTTATAACATTAACTTATTAACTAGTTTGAAATAATGTGAAGTGTTTTATATAAAATTAATATAGAAATATTTACCTTGAAAAAATACTCAGTTCGTTGTGTATTTATCTCAAGACTGACTGATACTGGATCTGGTGAATGAATCAGGAAATTGGGAGAACGAGACCAGTCCTGTAACATTAGGGCTGTAACCATGAGCAAGTCTTTGTAGTTCTCTGAGCTCAGGGCATTAAGGTATCATGGGTATTAAGGCACTGTGTTTACACATATTTATTAAATGTCTTAAGTTTCTTGATATTTTAAAAAAAAATGATCTTTTAATACTGAGAATTATTACTAAATGCAGCTACTTATCACCTCAGATTTTCAAACAGATTGAAAACTTGGGGTTTTATTATAGAAGACTTTTTTTTTTTCTTCAATAAAATTTTAGTCTATTGAACTGCTTTCCTGATATCAAAGAATCATATTGAACACCACTCAAGAACTGAAACAAAAAGATAAAGCAAATTACAGGTCTTACTAAGGATAAATCATTTGCTATGTTATAGATGTATACCGCAAAGTCCACGTTATAAAGATACTAGGCACCTGTTGCAGGAATATTCCTGCAAGACTTTCGGCGGGCTTCCCTCCCGCCACGGGGGGACAGGGCGGGGCACACCTGTCCCGCCTGCCTCACTACGGCCACCACCGCCACTGTCTCCGAGGCCACGGGCGCTGCCACCACCGCTGCGTGCCCCACCCACCCACCCACTGCGCCTGCCACCCTCGCTGCCTCCCGCTGCAGCCTCTGTAGCCGCACGCTGCTGCTGCTGCTGCTGCTGCGCACCCCGCCCCGCCCCGCCCGCACTGCAGTGCTTTCCCTCCAGCAGCTGCAGCCACCTTGCTTTCCACTTTTTCTCCCTCTTCCTTCTATGCTGTCTTCAGTCCTCAGGCCTCTCTCCCTCCATGTATGCAAATTAATTGCCATTTTTGTTGGGTTAACTTGCATACTCTGATTGGTTGGTGGGTGTGGCTGTGTAATGGAGCGATGGTTAATTTACATGTTACAATATTATTAGGTTAGATTTCACTTTTTAAAAATGAATTCAAACATCATCTTGGTTTTCATCTCTAAATGGCTATTAAAGTAAACATTGCAAATAAACTTAGAATACCATTTTTCCAAATACGTTCTAAGTCACATCTGAAAGTAGATTAGTTTGATTACTGGATAATACTTATCTGCTACTTTATTAAATAAAGGGGACAAAGTGACAGTGCAGATGCCACAGAGGTATTGGGTTTTGTTAGCATCCTGCAAGTAGGCCCTTTCATCAAAGTCTGTTGATGCAAAAGATCATATAATTGCCATTTAAAAAAAATCAAGTACTGTCTTATCACTCTCATATACAAGGTGGGACAAATATAAGAAAAAGCTGTTTTCTGCATACTCACAACTGTAAACCTACTTTTGTCCCAGCCTGTATTTTTAACTCCCCACAATTCCATTCTACAGTCTACTGCCTTTCCGCCTTCCTTTTTCTTTAGCTATTATTGTTTTATTTTTGTGGGGTTAGAGAACTATACTCAGCAAAGGAAAGTTTATTTGTGCCAAGGGACTTTAATGATGCCTAGTAAATTTGCAGTGCCTTCTTTTTTATATTTCTAATTAAAATGGGGAAACCTGTGAGACCAACTTAGTAGGTTTGTCTGCTTTGAGCATTCTTGAGAATATTGTGAATAATTGTTGTGTGTGTGAGTTCCCTCTAAATAGTGCTGGCACATGTTATGTGCTATAAAAGTGTTAGCTGCTGCTACTACTATTATCAAATATCCATTGGTTGAAAACCAAGGAATCAGCTAAATCGTACCTGCTACTGGACAAAATGTTGGAAAGAAGTTAAACATTTTTGAGAATAGGATTTATACGTTGGCTGTTTTTTTTTGTTTGTTTATTTTTTAATATTAAATGTTACTAAAACTTAGACACTAAGTTGTGTGAAAATAATTTAATTTTGTAGAGCTATATTTCTATATTCTATATAATTGAAGCTATTTTTATACTGTATTGGTAGTTTTTAATAAAGATGGTTTGAAGTTTGTGGCTGTGTTGCCTTTTCATGCATTGGTCTAAAAAATGCGTATGGAATTTTTACGCTATGCCAAGCGCTGCTCTGGATGCTGGGGATGCAGCAATGGGGGGAAAAACGGATAAAAATCCCCACCCTCATGGGAGTGAGGAGCACAAAGGCTATGAGACTCTATACTTCCATATTAACATGTAAATCACCAGAACTGAGTCTCTAAATCAGTGAATAAAATGCAATGCAGCAAGTTAAACTTTTTCAGCTCAGTCTGTTGAAAGAGTTGATCTAAAGTTCTTAATTTTTTTTTTTTAAAGCCATATTTCTCCCGAAACCGGTTTGGCTCAATGGATGGAGCGTTGGCTTGGGGACTGAAGGGTCCCGGGTTCGATTCCGGTCAAGGGCATGTACCTTGGTTGCGGGCTCATCCCCAGTAGGGGGTGTGCATGAGGCAGCTGGTCGATGACTCTCTCTCATCGATGTTTCTAACTCGCTGTCTCTCTCCCTTTCTCTCTGTACAAAATCAATAAAATTATTCTTTTTTTAAAAAGCCATATTTCTAAGTACTTGAAAGTTTGCTGTCTTTCATCAGAGAATAAATACCATAAATAAATGAGCTTAAGGATATCATAAAGGAATCTATACTAATAAAAGGGTAATATGCTAATTAGACCAGATAGACCAGACATTCTGCCAAGGGCTGAGGGCAGGCAGCAGCTGCAAGGCCTAGGACAGGTGGCCAGCAGTGGCGGCGGGGTACCAGACTGTGGCTTAGGCCTGCTACCCTCAGAGTGGGCCTAAGCCAATAGCAGCATATCCCCTGAGGGATCCCGGAATGTGAGAGGGGGCAGGCTCGGCTGAGGAAACCCCGAACCAGTGCATGAATTTTTGTGTACTGGGCTCTAGTATGTTATAAACACTATTGAGTCAAATGCAGGGCTAAGCTAGAAAGGAAGGAAGAGAGCACTGCCCCAGGGAGCAGCTGAGCATTGGCTTTTCTGTCCTCCGAGATACCCATGTTCCCTGCCACCAGAGATGTTTCCTTTGACTGCTCTTGGCACCTTGGAGTGTGATTCAGGTAATCAATCACCCCTTAAATTTCTCCCAGGGTGCTTGTTAATGCTGCCAATTCCCTTAAATAGATTGAAACTCATTTTTCAGAGTTCTGCAATAAGACACCAATCATTTATTTCTTGATTTCACAAAGGATCTTAAAGTCTGTAGAGGGCCATGCCAGGCTGGGAGCGGCCAGGCCCGGGGAAGCAGCCAGGTCGGGTGCAGCCAGGCCCGGAACAGCGGCTGCCAGGCTGGGAGCGGCCAGGCCCGGAGCAGCCGGGTCGGGTGTGGCCAGGCCCAGAGCAGCTGCTGCCAGGCTGGGAGCGGCCAGGCCCAGAGCAGCCGTAGCCAAGTCCAGAGCAACTAGGTCGGGAGCAGCAGTGACCAGACCCGGAGCAGCTGGTTGTGGAACGAACCAGAGCAATAGAGGCCAGGCCCTGAGCGGCCAGGCCTGGAACAGCTCGTTCTTCACCTGCCCCCATCCCAAGGCTGCCTCTCAGACATGGCTGGAAACTTTCGCGGGAACTTGAGGGTCTGCTGAATCAAGTGATGAAGGCTTAGATCTGGATGTGATGAGTTAGTATAGGGCTGGGGGGTTGATCTGTGAGTGCCTTGGGTGGGGCCTGGATAAGGCTAGTTGACCTATTGGGAAATGTCTTTTGTGTGAAGTGTATTGGGCATGTGGAGGTATTATTGATATGAGAAAATGCTAAGTAACTGATTTACTATCTGAAAAGGGATTTACTATCGGGGAAAGGGAGGGAAGAAGAGACTGAACATAAACTGTGCACCTATGGATGAGGACAATGGGGGATGGGGAGGGGGCGGAGGGTGGGGTGGGAACCTGGTGGAGGGGGGAAGAAATGAGGAACCTTTGTAATAATATGAACAATAAAGATTAAAAAAAAAAAAAAAAAAGTCTGTAGAGGGCCAAATGGGAAGACACCTGGACATTCTTATAGATTGTTGCTGACTAGGCCGGGGATATTGACAGAATCATGTCAGTTGCACTCCCGCCCTGGGAGTGCGGAGATGTTCTTAGTTCCTGACTAATGTGTTTGTTCAGGAGGAAGGAGTGGGTGGAACCTGGGCTCTCCCAGGCTCCTTGTTTTCCTGTGAAACCCATTGTTGGATTGGAAGATAATAGATGTGCTGCCTGGCTTAGGAGGTCGTCAGTCTGCCTCTCCAGCAGAGGAGGTCAGCAGCCCTCCCAGTTCCCAGCTTGAAATCTGTGTCTGCTCTTATTTCTAATATTTCTCAATCCCTGGGCACCTCCACTTAGAACCGGTTCATTCCTCTCCAGCAGAGGAGGTCAGCAGCCCTCCCAGTTCCCAGCTTGAAATCTGTGTCTGCTCTTTTTATTTTCAATATTTCTCAATCCCTGGGCACCTCCACTTAGAACCGGTTCATTCATCTCTCTTTCCATGCAGGACGCGGAAAAGGGAGATCCTGCCAGATCAGGCCCCCGCAAAGTCAATGTAATGAGAAGAGTAAAGTTTCTAAACCTATGAATAATGACTTGTCCAATTTTTTCAGAAAGATTAATCTGGCAACAACATGTAAAATGGAGAGAGACTTGCACTGAAAAACTAAAGAGCGGAATAAGTAGCTATGGAAAGGAGCATGAAACAACAGACCAGTAGGATTGCCAACTTTTTATGTGAAGTGATCAAAACATTAACAAAACAAGAGGCCTAGTGCATGAAATTCAAGCATGGGTACGGCCCTTAGGCCTGGTTGATGATCAGGGCCGATTAGGGCCTTCCAGTTGCCATCCAAGGCCTCCCATCCCTAGCTGCCGGATGCCAGCCGGTGCCTTCCTTCATCCCATACCACTCCGTGATGGTCAACACACATCATAGCAAGCAATTGAACACCCAAGGGGACACTTGGCATGTTAGCCTTTTTATATATATTGATTCCTACTCTGGAATCCTTTTGGCCTACATATTTGGTTTTTTACTAGTGATAAGTAGCATGAAAAGTGTTAAAACACACTTAAGATAGTGAAGAAAAACTTAGAACATTAAGTTCAAAATTGTCAATAACTCATCTTGGGTTTTCTGCGTGTTTCAAGGCTGCAGGTCCTACAAAGTAAGAGATAACACAGTGTCTCCATGTATGAGAAACTATCAAACATGCTATCAAAAGGAATCAGGAATCTATTATAGAGGGATCTCTAGGATATACAATTTTTTTTAAAAGGGAGGTGGGCCGAAACCTGTTTGGATCAATGGATAGAGCGTCGATCTGCGGACTGAAAGGTCCCAGATTCGATTTCGGTCAAGGTCAGGTACGTTGGTTGCGGGCACATCCCTGGGGGATGTGCAGGAGGCAGGTGATCGATGTTTCTAGCTCTCTATCCCTCTCCCTTCCTCTCTGTAAAAAAAATCAATTAAAAATATATTTTTAAAAAAAGGAGGTGGAATTAAATAGAAGCAGATATGTACTGAGTGAGTATTCTTGCCCAAAGAAGTCAAACCTGAATCTGCTCAGTCTCAGAGGAGTTCTCAAAGTATGGGAGGGAAGAAGTGTAGGTTTAACCAAGATGTCTGGGCCTCCATTGAGGTCAAAACTAAGACAATATCTGCCGATGTCGCTATCATTCTCTCATTTGTCTAGCAGCTACGTGAGGCATGCTACTGTCACAGGCTGAAGAGCAGTTATGTAAATCCAGCTGTTTTTCCTTCAGATATGAGCTTTCCAAAAATATAAAATAAGGCTATTCTTACTACATATTTTTTTTGTTTTGAAAAATATTTTAAATATTATTTGTGTTGAGTATTATTATTTTAAATGAATTGATAGTTTTACATTTTGTTTCAATTTCTGAAATGGTACATATCAATTTATGTCCCACAAAAACAAGCTTCTTTGGGCTCCTAATTTTTTTAGAAAAATATATTTTATTTTTTACAGAGAGGAAGAGAGAGGAATAAAGAGTTAGAAACATCAATGAGAGAGAATTATGGATCAGCTGCCTCTTGCACACCCCCTACTGGGGATGTGCCTGCAACCAAGGTACATGCCCCTGCCCAGAATCGAACCTGGGACCTTTCAGTCCGCAGTCCGACACTCTACCCATTGAGCCAAACCAGTTTCGGCAGGGGCTCCTAATTTTTAAAAATATATATTTTATTGGTTTTTTACAGAGAGGAAGAGAGAGGGATAGAGAGCTAGAAACATCGATGAGAGAGAATCATCGATCAGCTGCCTCTTGCACACCCCCTACTGGGGATGTGCCCGCAACCAAGGTACATGCCCTTGACTGGAATTGAACCAGGGACCTCTCAGTCCGCAGGCCGATGCTCCATCCACTGAGCCAAACTGGTTTCAGCAGGGGCTCCTAATTTTTAACAGTGAAAAGGGGGTCCTTTAAATAAAAATGTTTGATCCTGACCGGTGAGTTCAGTAGTTAGGGCACTGGCCTGCACACCATAAGGTCAAGGATTCAATTTCCCCTCAAAGGCTCCTAAGGGGGTTGCAGGTTCCATCCCTGAGGGCCCTGGTCGGAGTGTGTGGGAAGGAAACCAATCAATGTGTCTCTCTCACATCAATGTTTCTGTTTCTCTGTCTGTTTCTCCCCATTCCTCCCTCCTTCCTTTCCATTCTCTCTGGGAAGCAATGGAAAAAATATCCTGGAGTGAGGATAACAAAAACAAAAAGTTTGCCTCTGTTCTAGAATAGGTCACTGGTAACCTGCACATTCGCATTGCCTAAAGTGTAGGCCAGTGGTCAGCAAACTCATTAGTCAACAGAGCCAAACATCAACAGTACAACTACTGAAATTTCTTTTGAGAGCCAAATTTTTTAAACTTCAACTTCTTCTAACCCCACTTCTTAAAAATAGACTCGCCCAGCCCTGGCTGGTTTTGCTCAGTGGATAGAGCATCAGCCTGCGGACCAAAGGGTCCTGGGTTCGATTCCGGTCAAGGGCATGTACCTTGGTTGCAGGTTCCTCCTTGACCTGGGCCCTGGTCAGGGCTCCTGCAGGAGGCAACCAATCGATGTGTTTCTTTCATAATTGATGTTTCTGTCTTTCCCTCCCTCTTCCACTCTCTCTAAAAATCAATGGAAAAATATCCTCGGGTGAGGATTAACAAAACAAACAAAAAATAAAGTTGATTAAATTTTTTTTGTTTGTTTTTTAAATAGACTCACCAAGGCCGCGGTATTTTGTGGAAGAGCCACATTCAAGGGGCCAAAGAGCTGCATGTGGCTCGCGAACCGCAGTTTGTAGACCATGGATTTACGCAATGTAAACCCAAGCTTTACAATTAAAAGCCAGTCCAGTTGAGCCGGTTTGGCTCGGTGGATGGAGCATCGGCCTGCGAACTGAAGGGTTCTGGGTTTGATTCCCGTTGGGGGCATGTGCCTTGGTTGCCACCGCATTCCCGGTGGGGGGTGTGCAGGAGGCAGCTGATCATGATTCTCATCGGTGTTTCTGGCTCTCTGTCCCGCTCTCTGTCCCTCTCTCTTTCTCTCTGTGGAAGATCAATAAAATATACTTTTTTTAAAATAGGAAAATACTTTAAAAAAAAAATTAAAAGCCAGACCATCTCCTTTGAATGGGCAGTTTGGACAGAGAGAAGCACTGCTGTAGATGGAATGGGCCAATTCCAGTAAATTAAAGGAGAAAGAAGAACATGTTGACTTAACGCTTTCAGGAGTACAATCAGCAAAAACAGTGACAACGTGACTAAACGACCCCTGCAAAAATTAAAGGGGCAGAAATTAAAGCGATTTCTAAGAGAAAAACGAAGCGTAGTAACCTGGGAACTAAAACTAAGCTGGGTTGATCCCACACTGCGCTGCTCTCATTTCTACACTATCTTTACAGAGAAATAGCTCTTCCAGGCCCCTTCCTGCACCCTCGGAGGCTCAGGAGCCATGGATTCTACACTTCGATTCTACACTTCGCCAATGGCCGCGGCTACAGGGAAAATCTCAGGCACCGACACTTACCCAGGCAGCACAGCGCGCGCGCCCGCCTCTACGTGTCGGGAGTCACGTGGCCCGCACCAGGTGGCGGGGAGGCGGTTGGGAGCGCATGCGCAGCTCCCCCAGCCCCGCCCCACGTGGTGAGCGGATCTCCCAGCATTCTCGGCGCCGCTTTCCCGCCTGGACGACGCTCAAGCGGTTTTCTGCGTCCCTCCGCCTCTTCCGCGCACGTTTTAATTTGGCCTGCCGCTTGCGGTTGGGTGTTTTCCCGTCACCATGCAGCGTGACCCTCCGAAGAAGAAGCCCGAAAAGGGGATCTTTGACCTCGTGTCCTTCGGGAAGGACCTGATGGCCGGCGGGGTGGCGGCGGCTGTGTCCAAGACTGCCGTGGCGCCCATAGAGCGGGTGAAGCTCCTGCTGCAGGTGCAGGCGTCGTCCAAGCAGATCTCCCTCGAGAAGCAGTACAAAGGCATGATGGACTGTCTGATACGGATTCCCCGCGAGCAGGGTGCGTAGGGGCCTTCCTCTCCCCTGGTGGGTCGGGAGGGGACGGCTGGAGCCGTGGCCGCGTCAGCTGGGGCGGGTGTGGGGGTGGGGTGGGGGGTAGGGGTGGGGGTGGGGGGTGATGGGCTTGTTTCTTCAACTTGAAAAATTCAGTAATGGTAACCTAAGAGGCTCTGCTTCCCCAGGGCCTGCACATGACCAGTCCTAGTGCGGGCGAGAACACCACCTTCTCTTTCTCTCAATTTCTCCTTCGCACCAAGACTTCCATACACCTCGGCGCCTCGGCGCCTGGCTCAGAAGGCCGCGTGTGACTACCAGGATTAGATGAGATGCTATTTAAGCATTTTGCTGTGTGTGAACAAGTGCCCAAATTGCTTAAATACTTGCTGAAATACTGTATTCTCCAAATATGGGACCATTGGAGCCTCCCAGAACTCTGAGCTCTATTCCCTGAAAAGAGGTTCTGTGTATTCTTGAAATCTAGTGAAGAAGCAGTTGCTTCTGCACAGATTTGAAGGGGGGAGCAAAATAACATAACAAAGACAAATAATATTTTAAATCCAAGATGAGCAAAGTAAAATTTTAAAGACAGGATCAGTATTACCAATTTTTCTTTTGCATCAAATCCTGTCTTTATTTAAAATTTTAATGTTTTGTGGAGTCCTCCCCTCCTTCTCTCCCCTCAATTAATATTGAAAGAAAGCTTCCAAGGGCTAAATAATGAAATTGTTTTGTTAGCCATGAAATGCCTTCCGGTTGCACAGTGGCTCCTAAGCTAGCTCAGAGAATGTCAGGATAAATTTATCAGAAGTCTTCTATAACCCATCCATATAGTTGGATTCAATTGAAAACTCTGTATGAACTTTATTTTCTTTAAATATATTTTTAATGATTTCAGAGAGGAAGGGAGAGGAAGAGAGACAAACATCAATGATGAGAAGGAATCATTGATTGGCTTCCTCCTGCATGTTGGGCCTCGCTGGCAACCCAGGCATGTGCCCTTGACAGGAATCGAATCTGGGACCATTCAGTCCACAGGCCGAGGCTCTATCCACCAGTGAGGGCTCTGTACAAACTTTAAAAAGGAAATAGGCCTATTAACTGTGTTCAGAACAAGAAAAAGTGGCTTCAACTCCAGTGCAGTTCTCTCTCTTCCACTCCTAAGTCTAGATCAGGATATACTCTCCCATAAAAAAAGCATTCTCTTCCTAGGGATAAATCTGTTGGGCACAATATGTAGGGCCAAAGTAGACTCTTAAGGCATCATCTTAAATTATGAATTTTAAATGCCCATCTGAGAGCTGAACCCAGAAAGCATAAGAGTGGTTCATATTCTCCACACCCCATTTCTTTTACTAGAGCAAGCTCCCATTTCCTTCAAGGTTTTTACGGGAAAAGTAGGAACTTCTTTATCCTTAGTTTATATTTATGATTATCTAAGCCTCTAACCTAACTCTCAAACCTCTTCAGAGAAGTAGGCGGTGCTATATTATTAGTAATCTACTTTACCTATTTAGTTGGGTGAAGTTAAATATTGTGGTAGATTGTGCTTACCAGTGCTGATTTATTTTCTATTTTAAATGTTCTTAGTAATATTTAAACCTAAACATATTCAATATGGCTCTTATAAATTGCGATCATTCTGAATAGTATTCCAGTTTCTGATTTCTATACTTTCAAAGATGAGATGATAAAAGTAGAACTTGAAGATGTTTCCTATTCTTATAAACAGGGCCTCCTTATGAATACACTATGATATTATATTAGGTCTAGTAATAATTAATGTCGTTTTCTAATACTTTTTAAAATCGAATTTATTTAAACAATACAACAAAATTTAATCAACAATATAGTTGCCGTTGTTTTCTACTACTTGTGCCCAACACTCAGGAAGCATTTTAATCCCTCTGTTGTAAAATTCTTGTGATTTTGATGCAAAACATTCGGTCAATGCATTTTTGAGGCATTCTTCATTATTAAATTTTTTTTCCAAGAAGATAGTTTTGCAAAGAACGAAACAAATGGTAATCGGAAGGGGCAATATCAGGAGAATATGCAGGTTGAGGGAGAACTTCCCATTCCAACTGGCACAGTTTTTCAGCAGTGATTCTTGCAGTATGCGGTCGTGCGTTATCGTGGTGAAGAATTATGCCCTTCTGATTAATCAGCGCAGGTTCTTTTTCTCTTAAAGCTTGGGCTAACCTTTCCAATTGGGCACTATACACTGCACTTGTAATGGTTTGGTTAGATGGTAAAAGTTCATAATGAAGAATTCCTTTAAAATTCCACCAAACACACAACATCACTTTTTTCGCATGCAAGTCAGGTTTTGGCGTGGGCTGTGGAGCCTCATTTTTGTCCAACCATTGAGGCCGCCTTTTCAAATTAACATACAGCACCCATTTTTCCTCTCTGGTAACAATTTGCTCTAAAAACGGCAAACGGTTTTGACGAGAGAGGAGCGAACTGCAAATTGTGACTCTTTGATTACGGTTGTTGTCGGTCAACTCATGAGGAACCCATTTTCCAAACTTTTGGACTTTGCCAAGTGCACGCAATTAATTGGAAATTGTTTTTTGTGAACAATTTAAAGTTGTCGCAAGCTCTTGTTGGGTAATTTGAGGATTTTGCACCAAAAGAGCTTGAAGAACTTCTTGATCAAAATTGGACACACGGCCTCGACCACTCTTGTCATCTAACGAAAAATTTCCCTCGCGAAATTTCTCAAACCAACGCTGGCATTTTCTGGCGCTAACTGCATCTTGACCAAGAGCACTACAGATGTTTTTTGCAGCCTCACTTGCTTTTCTTCCTAATTGGAACTCGTAAAGCATGCAGTGCCGAATATGCTCTTCATCCGCCATCTTCTTAGCCCTAGTTTTGCAACAAAAAAAAAAAACCAAACACAAACTTTTTCAAGCGAAACTTGTTAATTGCACTTCACACGTTCTGTAGATACCACATGTTTGAAGGTTATGTCAATACAAGTCAACACCAAGCAAGATTTTAAACAAATGTTTAAAAACGACATTAATTATTACTAGACCCGATATATATCCTATGGTAAAAGGTTAGTAATTCACAACAGGGTTAATATTGCCATCTAGGAGTTTTTTTTGAAAATTGTGGGGAATTTTTTTGTTAGCACAAAGATTGTAATCTTCAATTGTAATAACATGAAAGACAAAATCCAGGGAGGTTAAGCATCTTGCTGCTATACATGGCCAGCCTCAGAGCTCCTCCTACTGGATATTCATGTGGCAGTAAAACCTGTTTATGATTATCTAAGCCTCTAACTTTACTCTGATTTCATCTAAATACAAACTGGGTATAGTTCTAGTAAGCACATCTCTTCTTTCTTTCTAGTTCAAGGATAGACTTCTTGATTCTTGCTCTGAACATAGCTTTTAACATCTCTCTGGATGTCTTTGATATTTTTTATAAACTTTCCTTGAATTATGAAAACTTCTGGATTTATCCTAATTAATGCTGTTCTAAAAGATTTATTCTTCAATTGGTTTTATGATCTTCAACTTTGTGGGATTTTTGTTTTGTTTTGTTAAACCTCATCTGAGAATACTTTCCCCATTGATTTTTAGGGAGAGTGGTAAGGAGGGAGGAAGTAGCTGGAAGAGAGAGAGAGAGAGAGAGAGAGAGAGAGAGAGAGAGAGATTGATTGATTAATTGGTCACCTCCCATATGCACCTCGACTGGGCCTGGGATCAAACCTGCAAACTAGTTATGTGCTCCTGACAAGTAATCGAAACCAAGACACTTCAGTTCTCTGTTCAGCTCTCTAACTACTGAACATCACCACCAGGGCTGATCTTCAACTTTGTATGTGCAATTTTATTTAATACTGTTTAAATTTTTATTACACAAGTAATGCATGTTTATTATAGACAATTAGAAAAAATAGAGAAGCAAATAGTAAAAACAAATAACTGCTAAAATCACCACAGTTAACATTTTAGTGTCTGTGCTATGTTTCACTGCGCAAAATATGCATACATAAACATATCCTTAAAGTAATTCTTGTATTTAATATATTACAAAATACCTTTTTAAATCTGATCTGTGCAGTCTCATTTTTAAGAGCCTACCAGAACTCTTCTCATTTAAGTGTTCCTTACCATGAGTTCATCAGCTGTCTTTAAACTTTTCCAAACTTATTTTTTTTAAAGCTAGAGCAGTGAGGTTTTTTTATTTGAAGAATGTTTGGGGACATGCAAAACAACATATTAGATATTTACTTTATTTAAATAAAATGGGAAATAAGCTTTACTGATATTTAGTATGTGAATTGGCACTGGCACTTATAATTGGGCCAAAAGTCAGTCAGATATCACAGGACACTAAGGCATTCTAAAAAAGAAATAGGGGTTAGTTAGTTCCACAGTTTAGAGGGGATGACAGGCACTCCAGCTCAGGAATCCTATCTAATAAAAGAGTAATATGCAAATTGACTATCACTCAAACACACAAGATGGCTGCCCCCATGTGGACACAATATGGCCATCACAAGATGGCCAGCAGGGGAGGACGGGAAGGACCAGGCCTGCAAAGGAGGGCAGTTGTGGGTGATCAGGCCAGCAGAGGAGGGCAGTTGGGAGGGACCAGGCCTGCAAGGGAGGGCAGTTGGGGGCAATCAAGCCTGCAGGGGAGGGCAGTTAAGGGTGACCAGGCCAACAGAGGAGGGAATTTGGGGGCGACCAGGCCTCCATGGAAGGGCAGTTGAGGAGAGGGGACCCAGGCCTGCAGGGGAGGGTAGTTGGGATAATCAGGCTGACAGGGGAGCAGTTAGGCATCAATCAGGCTGGCAGGGGAGTGGTTAGGGGTGATCAGGCTGGCAGGCAGAAGCGGTTAGGGGCAATCAGGAAGGCAGGTGAGCTCTTGGGAGCCAGCAGTCCTGGATTGTGAGAGGGATGTCCCAGATTGGAGAGGTTACAAACTGGGCTGAGAGACACACCCTCTGTGCACGAATTTTGTGCACCAGGCCTCTAGATACATAATAAACATGTTATAGAGACAAGACTATTTGAATATTTTAAATTATCAACAAGAATATTTGAATTCTAGATTAATGTACACTATTCTTAAAAAGTAACCTCACTCTAAAGATGCCTTAAGATAGTAGGAAATGATGGCATAAAAACATCATGTGGCTCAGTAGTTGAATAAATCTATAAACCAGTAGGTCACAGTTTGGTTCCTGGTCAGGGCACATGCCCAGATTGTGGCTTGATGCTCAGTAAGGGGCATGCAGGAAGCAGCCAATCAATGATTGCCATGATTGATGTTTCTATCTCTTCTTCTCTGAAGTCAATAAGAAATGTGTTTTTTAAAAAAACATAATTAGCAATATATCTGAAAATATTATGCTCTAATGGTTCAAATAAGTACACATTTATATTCAAATACCTCCTAGCTATAAGTTTTCCCCAAGCAACCTATTTAAGTAGCTCTTTGTCATTCTCCATCTCCATATGCTATTTTTGTTCTTATGACCACCTAACATATTTATATAATTCTTATGACCACCTGACATGTTTATTTATTCATTTTCTCCAATGAACAAATTTTTGCTCCTCACCCTCTAAATGTAAGCACCTTAAGCCCAAGAACTTTGTTTCCAGTGCTTTTCCCGGCAGTTCCGCTTTGCAATAGGTACCAAATAACATTTTTTTAAAGTGATGAATCTTTATCTCATTCTTTATTTTTTATATATTACATAATAGGTATAGTAGCAAAGGCAAATGACTTTAAAAAATGTATATATATTTATGATAGGCTACATATATTTTTACTGATATACTACATATATTTTTACTGATAGGCATTTGCAAAAACATACTCAGGCCCACTAGTCTAGAATAAATTCTAACTGTGCCTAGCATTCCTATTCTTGGTTATAAATTGACCAGTAAATGGCCCAGTAACTGCTTCCTATTTCCCATCAGTTTTATTTTAATTCTTAATTATTTTCTCAGAATTAAGTTCAGAGGATATTTTTTCTTGTCCTTAAATTTTGAAGATATTATTTTCTTAGCAATTAAGAGACTGCTATTATCAAAGATACCACAGTTGCTATGTTTTTCTCTACCAATTTTGTGATTATACAACATGTCCAAAAAATGTATACACACTTTAACGGCTGATACTTCAATTTTGAAAATGAAATGTATTTTAATAAATACTGCCTTTATAATTATTCAAACTGTGGTTAACATTTTCTTGGGACACTATATATATATCAGAAAATTGTTCTTTTAATCTGTATGACTGATCTTCCCTTTTTCTATTCTGACCTAAAAAAAGACTATATTGTCTTTTATTGAGAAATGATTTTTAAAGAGCGGCAGTAGAGATTTAATAGCTTTAGGTTGGAGTCAGAGCTGGAATCAAGACCCAGCCCTTCCCTTACCTTGTGACCTTGAACCATTTTTATTTAATCTCTCGGCCTCAGTTTTCTCAATTGTGTGCTACATACCTGATGATATGGTAGTGGTGAGAGTTAAACAAGATACTGCCAATAAAATATTCAACTATGTGTCTATTGCATAGTTAGTGCTCAATAAATTTTAACTCTTTAAATCATTATGTATGCATTCATAAATTTGTAAACATGTATTTCTGATATTCATTTGTAAGTAAGTACATTTGGGATAAACTTTTGTAGTGGAGCAAAAATTTTCCTTCTACCTTTCTAGCATCTTTGAATACTATGATAATCAAATTAACAGAAGACATTTTCACAGGAGAAAAGCAAATTTAATTGGGTACGTACATGGCCCTATAAAAATCTGAGAACCACAGGCAGATAGTTGAGGCTTATATGTCTGTTCAGAGCTAAGAAGAATGGGGTAAGGGTCTGGGTCTTCCAATGGGAAGAAGAAAACTTACAGGAAGATAGGAAAAGCAAATATTTTGTAAACAAATGTTTGTTGTGTTTTGCTGAGACAATGGAGCACTGAAGAGACTGAACAAATAGATCCTCTGCCCAGCTACCACTAGTTTACCATATCTAGCCCATGCTCTTTGATAATTCTCTTCTTGGACCAAGCCCTCTCTCTAAACTTATTCTGGTAATTAAGGAGAAGGTTAAAATAAATTTAAAGTCCTTCTAGTTTTTTGTTTCTTAAAAACAATCAGTCCAGCCGAAACCGGTTTAGCTCAGTGGATAGAGCGTCACCCTGCAGACTGAAAGATCCCAGGTTCGATTCCGGTCAAGGGCATGTACCTTGGTTGCAGGCACATCCTCAGTATGGGGTGTGCTAGAGGCAGCTGATCGATGTTTCTAACTCTCTATCCCTTTCTCTTCCTCTCTGTGAAAAAATCAATAAAATATATTTTATTAAAAAAAATCAGCCCAAAATAATCCTTATTCCAGAGACACATTTGAGGTGGCAAATTTTATTACTCTATGTTGCATTACACAGAGAGTTTTTTGTTTGTTTTTTGTTAGTCTGTCTGCGGGAATTAATTTAATATCTTTAAAATGAAGAGACTAATACTGTGTTTCCCCAAAAATAAGACATTCTCCGAAAATAAGACCTAGCGCATGGAAAGATAAGACATCCCCTGAAAATAAGACATAGCACAACTTTGGGAGAAAAAAATAATATAAGACACTGTCTTTATTTTCGGGGAAATGGTACCTGCCTCATGAGTGATTATGTGCAACTGCTTTATATTCAGCTTAGGATTCACCAAGATTCTGGGGATTTTTTCCCCCACTAAATATATTTATTTAACAAATAAATATCTTTCTCTCTGTGTACTACACTAATTTAACTTTCAAATTCTGAGGACCAGCCTACTAAGCTGAAATTATTATTGTTTTTTTTCATCACCATTTATCCCCTCTGTGCCCTCTTCCACCAGCACCACCCCTGCCTCCCTCCCCACACCCAGCAATCACCACCACACTGTTATCCATGTCCATGAGTTCTCTTTTTCTTTTTTGCTCAACCTCCCCTCCCCCCTCCCATCCCAGAACTATCTGCCTGCTTTCTATGAGTGCATCTTAATTTTCATTTGAATGTTCATCTTTAGAAGACTGATTCTGGATGTTCCCCAAGCTAGATGGAGAGGTATCTTATTCAGAATAGTAAGATGAAACCATTTGATAATTTGCAATCTAGTAAAAACAATTATGGCTACTAAAGAGCAAGCCTGTTATATTCTAGGACAGCTCTGGATTATAAGGATAACACATAGTAGGATTGGTCAATCCATTGAGATTTGAAGTGGGAAGATTATTAATCTCTGAAGTTTCCTTCAGTCTTTCTATCAGGCCTTGAATTATAAATAGTTCACTTTTCTATCTGGGTTCCAAAACATAAAGATAAAGATGCTTTAGACTTCTGTCACTTTCTCCTCAGAGTATGCATACAAACCAATTCTGTTCTAGCAGCCTTACTACTCTAGGAATTATATATCATGATTTGGAAATGATGCCAAGGGTTACTAACTTCTCTGACAAATACTCCTGAACTATTTTTCTACTAGTGAAGAATCCTATATTCAACTGATAATAGTTTTCCACAGGTTGTTAGGTATTCAAGGCTTTTCATTGGATATTAATAAAATTGGTATGGAAGTACATGGAGTTAATACTACATTTTTTCTTCAGTGAAGACACATATAAACTATTTTTTTCCCCTGAGAAAGGGATTTGCTTTTAAATCAAATAACTAAGTTTGTTAAAGTTGTGGGAATTGTTTAATGACTAGAGCCCTGGTGCACGAAATTCATGCATGGGGGTTGGGTGGCTCAGTCCGACCTGCACCCTCTCCAATCTGGGAACCATGGCAGCTTAGGCCCACTCCCCGTGGTTCTCTGCTTTCTGTGGGGCCTGGCTGCTCTGCGCCCATTGTCCAGAGGCTCTCCACCGCTCAGAGGCCCTCTGTGGCCGGGGTGGGACGCTTGCCTCATTGCTGCAGTGACAAAGCAGGCATTCCGCTAGGCCGCTTACATTGCCTGTTCTCAGCAGCTGCCGCCCCCCCAGGACTGGGGGACTCTGGCGGGGTTGAGGGGCCTGGGCACTGCCATCTTGTGGCTATGGGCACCACCATCTTTGTGACAGAGTGATGGTTAATTTGCATATTACCCTTTTATTAGAGAAGATAATACAGTATATACTTATATGTAGTATGTTTTCTTTTGTAGGTTTCTTTAGTTATTGGCGTGGCAATTTTGTAAATGTTCTTCGGTATTTTCCAACACAAGCTCTAAATTTTGCTTTTAAGGACAAATACAAACAACTTTTCATGACTGGAGTTAATAAAGATAAACAGGCAAGTATAGATAATATCTCTAAATTTTTCTAAGAAATGGTTGGTTTGTCTTATGTATGATGAGAGGATGTGGTGAAGTGGTAGAAAAAATAGTTAAAATAGTAACTGTTAACACACTGTGTTAAGTTATAGAAATTATATGTGAAAAGCACAACTTTTATAGATTTCTTTGAACATGGTTTTAATATTTAAGGTATATTTTGTCTTAAAGCAGTATTTCTCTGAATAAATGTTAATTTTAATGTAATTATATTTTATAATTGCTACTTTATTACACTAGAACAAAATTAACATTTTGTCTACTATTATTAAGCGAAAAGGAAAAAAGCAGTCAAGACTCATGTATTTCTGCCCTAGCTGGTTTGGCTCATTGGAAGAGTGTTGACCTATGGACTGAACGGTCCCGGTCAAGGACACCTGCCCGGGTTGCAGGCTCAATCCCCAGTAGGGAGCATGCAGGAGGCAGCCGATCAAATGATTCTCTCTCAACATTGATGTTTGTTTATCCCTCTTCCTTTCTTATTTAAAAAAAAAAAAAAAAGATTTAGGTGATTTATTTCCTAAAAAAGCAAGTTGTTTCTTTATTTCTAAGGACCTATTTAGCTGAGATTTTTTAAAATCTCCACCTGAGGATATTTCCCCTTTAATTTTTAGAGAGAGTGAATGAGAGAGGGAAAGACAGAAATATTGATGTGAGAGAAACACATTGCTTGGTTGCCACCTGCACCAGCTCCACCAGGACCTGAGCTGGGGAGGGGAGGAACCTGCAACCAGGGTCCAAAATTGAATTTGGGACCCATCAGTCCCCAGGCCAATGCTCTATCCACTGAGCTAAACCAGCTACATTTAGCTGAGATTTAAAGTGCATGGCATATATAATCTAAAGACATGATTACCTTATGTGTCCATTTTTGCTAATTTGGGCTACTTTTGCTGGAGGACATTAAAGTATTTTGCAATCTCAGTATGTCAGTATATCTAAACTGTACCTCCTAGACTGCCTGGTAAGAAACACAGGACAATGAAAGACAAGTATTCTGGATAGTATGATACGCATTATTACAGATGTTTACTTTAGAGAATCAGTTTGTAAATCTGACCTTTTAGCCTTTAGAAAAATAAAGATTTTACACAGTCAAGTTCTGTATTTTAATAACCGCGTTTTAATTTAATATGTTTCAGTTCTGGAGATGGTTTTTGGCAAACCTGGCTGCTGGCGGAGCAGCTGGGGCAACATCCTTATGTTTTGTATATCCACTAGATTTTGCTCGAACACGATTAGGTGTTGATATTGGAAAAGGTATGGCAGTTTTAGAAATACTGACTCTTCCTTCTTTGTGTTTTGAATAATGTACTATTTATTCTAAAGCTATGCTGTAACAACAGTGTTAGTTACAATCTAAAAATTGTATTCTCAACCAACTGCTAAGGTCATATGGTCTAAAGATTACTACTTTTTTCCTTTCCCTTAAAGGAGGGAAGAGGAAGGCCAACACTGTAGTAACAAAAGAGCAAACAAAGACTATTTAAACTTCTTCTTTTATTTTCCTGGAGTGCCACCTTTAGATCCCTCATACACTTACTCCTGCCTCAATTATGATTCCTCTCTAGGTTAGATGTACAACTCTCATGCTAGAGATTCCCTTTTCCTCTGTTCCTACTTATTTTATTTACCATATCTTCTATATTTTTGTTATGCAACCATTTTTGGTAGAATATGTTCTTTAGTAGCTTTCTGAAAAGAGTAGAATAGGAGATAAGTTGAAATCTTGCTTGTTTAAAAATGTCTGTTTTACTCTCTTAATTCTTGGCCATATAAAAATTTTGGGTTTAAATTAAATTTCTTTCACAATTTAAAAAGTATTATTCTGGATTCTAGTTTCTAACATTGCTCTTAAAAAGTTGATCTCTTACTGTTGATCCTTTTGTAAGCACCTTTTTTTTCTTTTTAATTACCTTATGTCCCTGCTGACATGATATTTCACAACATGTATATTTGTATGAGTCTTTTTTCAGTGATTACGGAGGCAACTCTGTTGGTCCCATTCAATCTGGAGCCTTGAGTTCAGTTCTGAGGATGACAGGAGAAAGTGACTTGGCTGCTCAGGGTGAAGCAGATTTTGAGTATTGAAATACTTTGCTTTCACTGCAAGAATAGCACAGTACTTAGTTCCCCTAATTTCTAAGATTTTCTGAGATTGGAGTCCAGGGCTTTCTTCTCAACAATATCTCCTTCTGCAAGAAAGTAAGTTTCAGTTTTCTCTGCTCTACTTAGTGAGGTTACACCCCTTCGCCTCTTTTCCATCATGTCAAAATTTGTGGATTTTATTTTTGTCAATATTCTTCTTTGCCTATGTGGCATTAAACCTATTTTATTTCTTTACTAGAGGTCTGCTACACAGATTCATACACTGGTGGGGTCCCTTGGCATGGCCTGCTCCCTCTCGAAATCTGGTACCTCTCAGGGGATGTCGGAGGCCCAGTGCATGGATTCGGTTTGATTGCCACAGGCTAGGCTGAGGGGCCCTACCAGTGCACGAATCTATTAATATGCACTGGGCCTATAGTATGCATATAAGATTTTTGGTTAATCTCTTCCTGCCCTCTCCCCCACCCCCTTCCCTCAGAGATTTATCAGTTTGTTCCATTCTTTCATGCCTGTGCCTTGAGCGTCTGCCCAGTGGCCAGTGTGTGTCATAGCTACCAGTTGAATGGTCGCTTAGCCATTCAACAATAAAGATTTATTAAGTTAAAAAAAAACTTAAAAAATGATTTTATATATATATATATTGTTCGTATTATTACAATTGTCCCTCTTCCCCCTCGCCCATAGCTTCCCTCCACCAGGTTCCTACCCCCCCCCCCGCCCTTACCCCTCACCACTGTCCTCATCCATAGGTGTACACTTTTTGTACAGTATTTCCGCACCCCTCATACCCCTTTCCCCCCCGAGAATTGTCAGTTTTTCACTTGTTGATAGATATGTATTGGTTCATAATTTTTATCTTTACCTTTTTCTTCTTCTTCCTCTTTTTAAAGAATACCTTTCAACATTTCATACAATATTGGTTTGGCGGTGATGAACTCCTTTAGCTTTTTCTTATCTGTGAAGCTCTTTATCTGACCTTCAATTCTTTTTTTTTAATTTTTTTTTATTTTGTACAGAGAGGAAGGGAGAGAGATACAGAGCTAGAAACATCCATGAGAGAGAGTCATCGATCAGCTGCCTCTTGCACACCCTCTACTGGGGATATGCCCGCAACCAAGGTACATGCCCTTGACCAGAATCGAACCCGGGACCCTTCAGTCCCCAAGCCAACGCTCTATCCATTGAGCCAAACCGGTCTCGGCATGACCTTCAATTCTTAATGATAGCTTCGCTGGGTAGAGTAACTTTGGTTGTAGTATCTTGCTATTCATCACTTTGAATATTTCTTACCACTCCCGTCTGGCCTGTGTAGTTTCTGATGAGAAATCAGCTGACAGTCGTATAGGTGCTCCCTTGTAGGTAACTAGCTGTTTTTCTCTTGCTGCTTTTAATATTCTCTCTTTGTCTTTTACTCTTGAGATTTTAATTATGATGTGTCTTGGTGTGGTCCTCTTTGGATTCCTTTTGTCTGGGGTTCTCTGCTCTTCCTGGACTTGTAAGTCTACTTCTTTCACCAGGTGGGGGAAGTTTTCTGTCACTATTTCTTCAAATAGGTTTTCAGTATCTTGCTCTCTCTCTTCTTCTGGCACCCCCATAATTCAGATGTTGGTATGCTTGAGGATGTTCCAGAGGATTCTAACACAATCTTCAGATTTTTGGATTCTTTTATCTTTTTTGCTTTTCCAGTTGAGGGTTTTTTGCTTCTTTGTATTCCAAATCTTTGACTTGATTCTTGCAATCCTCTAGACTGCTGTTAGGTCTCTGTATAATATTTTTTATTTCAGTCAATGTATATTTAATTTCTAGTTGGTCCTTTTTCCTATTCTCGAGGGTTTCATTAAATTTATCAGCCTTTTTTAGGAAATTCTTGAAAAACCTGGTTTTGAACTCTATATCCAGTCATTTGCTTTCCTCCATTTCTTTCATTTGTGATCTGTTTCTTTGTCTCCACATTTTCGCTGCTTCCCTGAGTTGGCAGAGTAGCTTTGTGTGTTAGGTGTCCTATATGGCCCAGTGGCTCAGCCTCCCCCGTTGCCTGAGATGGATACTCTTATGCACCCCTTTGTGGACTGTGTGCACAGCCTTGTTGTAGGTAAGCCTTGATTGTTATTGGTATCATGGGAGGAATTGACCTCCAGGCCAATTGGCTGTGAGGATCAGCTGTGTCTCGACTGGGAGAGCTTCTGTGCTCAGATTGGATGGGGCAGAGTCTCAGGTTGGAGAAGACAGCCTTGGTTTTCCATCAGCCCCGCCCTAAGAGGCCCCTGGTTCTTGGTGTCCCTTGGCAATGGCTGCACACACTTCTGAGAGAAGAGTGCTCTTGATTTTTTTTTTTTTTCCACAGAGAGGAAGGGATAGGGATAGAGAGTTAGAAACATCAATGAGAGAAAAACGTCCATCAGCTGCCTCTTATGCATCTCCTACTGGGGATGTGCCCACAACCAACATGCCCTTGACGGGAATCAAACCTGAGACCTTTCAGTCTGCAGGCTGACGCTCTATCCACTGAGCCAAACCGGTCAGGGCTGCTATTTTTGCCCTCTGCAGACAGTCCAGTTTCTCCACAAATGAATCTGGGTATCAGAACTGGAGTTTAGTGCAGTCGGGAGGTTTTGTTTCCCTCCCGAACAAGGTAGCTAGCCACATGCATGCTGCCTGTCCTCTCCGTGGGCCACGAGTAAGCCAGCCGCCACATTCCACATGCGCAGTCTCCATGCCTCTGTTCTCTAAAGCGCCTTTGAGTCTTAGTGTCTTTTTATCTTTTAATTGTAGACTTTCCACTCAGCCAGCTTTCTGGTGGTTCTGGACAATGTCCACTCTGACTTCCAGTTGCAGTTTTGAAATTGTTGTGCAAAGCAGCAGTATAGGTGTTTACCTATGCCACCATCTTGGTTTCTATCTAGATGAATTTTTGTGTGTTGTGGGTTTTTTTTTCCTGCAAAAAGCTTTATGATTTTATTTGGTCCCATGCATGGGAGAGGGCTTCATGGTGGTGAAAAGAATGATTAATGGTTTCGAGGAGAAGCTCAGGCTTAAGCTAGACACCATAGGAATGCAGAGGGGCCCCTCAAGGGCCTCTGGGCTCCAAAGGCTTATAGTGGTGCTTCTATAGATTATCATTTTAATAAAATGTCTTAAGGGAGCAGAGATTCATTTAATATTTCTTCATTGCATGCTGTGAACCAAATGTGTGCACATGCACGAGCATGTGGTCCCTCTCCCTCCTCCTCCTCCTCCTCCTCCTCCTTCTTCTTCTCTTTCTCTCTCTCTCTCTCTCTCTCTCTCTCTCTCTCTCTCTCTCTCTCTCTCTCTCACTTTCACACACATGCACACACGATATAAAACATGGAGTTTGTAGTTCATGTACCTTATAGTGTAGTGGGGGATAAAAGTAAAAAAGAATGAATCGATGACTAAAATATAATGTCATTTGCAGTAAATGTCATGAAAAAATTAGGAGAAGGGAGTAACATCAATTTTAGATAAGTGATCAGAGAAAATATCTCAGAAAGGATAATGACTTGAGTAAAAATGAAAATAGGGGTTCTATCTTATATTTAACTGGCAGTCCAAATTTTCTTGTTATTGCTAAGAAAGAAAAAATAATTCATGTACCTTATTTAAGTTCAGTACTTTTATTTTCTCTCAAAATTGGAAAAATTTAGCTTATTTTGAAGGATTATATTACACACATAATATTTCAATTATTGCCAAAAAGTTTGAGTCAGGAGACAATAAAACCAATAAACACTCAAAAACTGTGACACCCCATCCATAATGTTAATGATTCTTAACTTACTAGTTTTTAGTTTTGTCTTTTTGCTCTTCAACTGAAATGAGTCATAAAGTCTTTCATTCCTAATGAAAACTAAAAACTTCTAAATTCCTAGAAGTTACATTTCTAGGATCTTCTGTTAATTTTCTTGACCCTTTCATATTGCTTGAATTAGATTGGTTTTAAAAGAGATTGATATTTAAAAACTTAAAGATACTACTTTAAAACTTAATTATTTGTTAACTAATGGGAGAATTTTGATGTGTGCTTTTATTTTGTTAGATTTCTAAGTGGCGATTCCAAATACTTTAAATCTGTAAAATGTTTAAATAAAGTATTTATCTGATATATAACACTGCTAATGAATTTCAAATGGCTTTATTTTAGGTCCTGCAGAGCGACAATTCCACGGTTTAGGTGACTGTCTTATCAAAATAGCAAAATCAGATGGAATTGTTGGTCTATACCAAGGGTTTAGTATTTCAGTACAGGGCATCATTGTGTACCGAGCTGCTTATTTTGGAATTTATGACACAGCTAAGGTAATTTGGGGCTTTAGTATATATTAAATGGTTTATTTCTTTCTTAAATTATTTATTGTTTTAAGTATTATATTTGTCTCCTTTTTCTCCTCATTGATCTCTCCTGGCAACCCTCTCGTACCCCGCCCCTCTGCACATGCCCTCACCCCCCTGTTGTCTGTGCCCATTGGTTATGCTTATATACATGCATACAAGTCCTTTGGTTGATCTCTTCACCACCACCCCCCTCCTTTCCTCTGAAGTTTGATGGTCTGTTTCTAGATCTATTTATGTCTATTATATCCCATGAATGAGTGAGATCATGTGATATTCATGTTAATCTGACTGGCTTATTTCACATATCATAATGCTTTCCATGTCCATGCTGTTGTGAATGGTAAGAGTTATTTCTTCTTTATAGCAATGTAGTAGTCCATTGTGTAGATGTACCAGAGTTTTTTATACACTCATCTGCTGCTGGGCACTGAGGCTGTTTCAGATCTTACTAGCTATTGTAAATTGTGCTCCTATGAACATAGGGGAGCATATGTCCTTTCTGATTGGTGTTTCTGATTTCTTGGGATATATTCCTAGGAATGGGATTACTGCTTCAAAAGGAAGTTCTATTTTTAATTAGTAATATGTTCAACAATTATGTTTACTTTTAATTATATATATCAAAACAAACGATGGAATAAGAGACATTATAGAGTTGTTCAATCATGACTTTGCCATAACCTATCGATAATTAAATTATAACTCTATTGTGGATCTGATTTGAGATACAGAGCATAAACCCAAATATTAAGTTTTTTTGCTGTTTACACTGAAAAAAACTCACTATTCATTATAATCAAATTTTTGACATATAGAAAGGCTTCTGACAGAATTTTCTGATTTTACATTGAGTTTATTATCTTTTTTTTTTAAATATATTTTACTAATCTTTTATGTAGTGGAAGGGAGAGGGTTAGAGAGCTAGAAACATTGATGAGAGAGAAACATCGACCAGCTGCCACCTGCACACCCCCCACCGGGGATGTGCCCGCAACCAATGCACATGCCCTTGACCGGAATCGAACCTGCGACCCCTCAGTCCACAGACCGATGCTCTATCCACTGAGCCAAACCAGTTTCAGCTATCTCTCTTTTTTTTTTTTACATATAAATAGAAGTTTACTATCACCATTTTAGAAAGTAGGCAAGGCATAATTAGTTAAATGTAATAAATTAACATAAATTAGGTGTTTATTGTGAATTGTTAGATTCTGTATTGTATTCTCCAGATTGTTTTAGCAATTGCCTTTTCATTTCAGATTTTAATATCATTTCCATAAGGTAGAAAAAAGAAAGATTGTAATAATGGCTACCATTTTTGAACTATTACTTAGTTCTAGCAACTTTGTTAGTTCTTTACATCCTCACAGTGTTGTAGGATAGCTTTTTAAAAAAAAAATGTTTCTATTGATTTTTGAGGGAAGGAGGGAAAGAGAAACATACTTTGAGAGGATCATTGATCAGCTGTCTTCTGCACACCCCCTGTGGGGATGGAGCCTGTAACCCGGAATGAAACCAGTGACTTGTTCAACCACTGAGCCACACTGGCTGGGCAAAGATAGCTTTTAATGTCCCCATTTTAAAGATAAATAACTGAAGAGTGGTTAAGTAACTTATTTCTTCTTCTTAAACTTCCAAAATTAGGCAATGAAATTAGTATCAGTATTATTTACTAAATTAGATTAAAAGTTGATGGAAGTTTTATAATAGTTTTCTATATTATCTCTACCCTTCATTAAATATAGTTGCATATAATTTTTATTATGGTTCAGACATAGAACTTTTAGTTTGTAGTGGGTTTTTTATGTATATTTACTTAATAACAGAAAAGCTTATGTGCACTTTTCCTCTTTGCTCTTTTACCACCTCTAGTAGCTGTAAAATTTAGGAATGTTTCTTCACTAACTTAGTCTTTTTTTTTTTTTTTTAATTTAGTCTTTTAAAGCTGTTTACCAAATACCATCTTTTGATGATAATAGTAGCCATTATTTCAGTTTTTTATCAACTCTGTGAAGAGTCATGAACAACATTTTTGGTCACTGGCTATTATCCTCCCTTGTTTTAAGTGCCATTAATGACAAAACAATTTAAAAAATACACTTTTCCCCCCAAATATGTTTTTATAGGATAGTCATGTATGACGTTCTCCTTTCTAACTGATATCCTGCTAATATTTTCATTTTTCTACATTAAATTCAACTGTTTTTAATTGCATCTTAAGTATAATTGAGCCCTCTTTCATATATTCCTAAGAGTTACTATTTGACTTAGGATTTAAGATGTTTTAGAAATTGATATGGTTACTTTACACATTATTTTTTTCTAGGGCTTATTACCCAAATCAAAGGAATCCTCATTTCTTATTACCTTTTTGATTGCTCAAGTTGTGACTACATTCGCTGGAATAATCTCTTATCCCTTGGACACAATTAGAAGACGTATGATGATGCAGGTATTTTATATTATTATTTGAAAGTTTTGTTGAGTTTTCCACTATCTCTGATATTTACGTATAATTCAAATTTTAGAGACATTTTGACTGGAAAATAGGTCATTTGTGAATAAATGCATGCTGTGCTCTTGCCCAGTGGCTCGATTTGAGCATCGTCCCATATACCAAAAGGTTGCCCTTTTGATTCTCAGTCATTTGCGGGTTCAAACCCCTATGGGACGCAACCAATCAATATTTTTCTCAAACTCGCGCGCCTCTCTCTCTCTCTCTCTCTCTCTCTCTCTCTCTCTCTCTCTCTCTCTCTCTCTCTCTCTCTCTCTCTTTCTCTCTCTCTCCCCCCTCCATCCTCTCTCTCTAAAAATCAATAAAAGCATATCTTCAGGTGAAGATTAAAAAATAAATAAACACATGCAGTTTGGGCTTGTTTTTCTTTACTATTAATATTATAGATAGCCAGCATCCAGGAAAGCTTTTTTCTTCTTCTTCTGCTATCAGAATAGAAATGCTTTCTACCCCTGTAGCATACATTGTTTGAAGGATAGGGAAAATGGTAGGGATTTGATGAGCATGTCTGTCTTAACTGAATATTAGATCAAGTAGAATAAGCCTAGTCACAAGCCACTAACTTATGTAATATCATTAGTTGTAGGATATTTCAATAAAAAGGAAAAAATTTTAACTTCAAAGACAAAAACTTATTTATAATGATCTATGTTCTAAATATAGTCAGTTTTGATACATTCAATCTCCAGTGCTGTTACTTGTTAACATTCATTCATTCAGCAAATATTTGACTGCCTAATCTATGCTAAGTTATGGTGACACAAATAAAATAAAATCAGAACCTGCACTAAAATTCATAGCATAGTATTGAAGGCATACAGTTAATGGTTTAAATAGAAATGTGCATAGATTCCAGGAATGCAATAGAAGAGGGATGCCCAAATGCTTATTGTGATCAGATGTGGCCTCTTGCAAAGCTGATCTCAGTAAATAGGCATTTTCCCCAGTGAAAGAACATTCTAAGCAGAATTGAAAAATCATAGTACATAGAGATACACGTAAGGAGTAATTATACCCAGATGATAGTTTTCATGGGGACAAGTGCAAATAATGAGGCCAGAAAGCTAGAAAAGGTGTGTATGGCTTACTATGCCAGATACTGTACTAAACATTTTACACTTTAACTCATTTAATTCTCAAAGTAATATGAAGGGGTGTGGTTACTATCATTACCCTCATTTTTATGTCAATGAAATGTCCTGGAAGAACCCACAAGGCCATCAGAAAGGGTAAACTAGCTCTAGTTTAATATATTGAGAACTTTTTATCTTCACCTGAGGACATGCTTAGAGAGAGGAAGAAAGAGAGAAAGAGAAAGATTAATGTGATGAGAGAAACATCAATTGATTGCCTTCCATATGCTACCCTAACTGGTAATCAAACCGGCAATCTCTTGATGCACAGGACAACACTCAACCAACTGAGCCATTCCGGCAGGACTACGTTGAAACATTTTTTAAATGGAAAATTAATTTGCATAATATATTATAGTAATAAATCTATGTGGTGGATTAGTAAATGGTACTATATCAATGTTAAGTTTTCTGATTTTGATAACTAGTCTTTGGGTATGTAAGAAAATATTCTTAAAAATGCACACTGAAGTGTTTAAAGATAATGGTTATGATAGCTGCAACTTACTGTCAAAATAACTATTTCAGTGTATTGCTAGGGCTGCTATAAAAAGTACAATAGGTAAACAACATTTATTTTCTTTTTTTTAATATATATTTACTTCAGAGAGGAAGTGAAAGGGAATGATAGAAACATCAATGAGAGAATTAGCTGCCTTCTACATTCCCCCTACTGGGGATTGAGCCTACAACCTGGACATGTGACCTTTACCAGAATAAAACTGGGGACCCTTCTATCTGAAAACCAACACTCTATCAACTGAGCCAAACTGGCTAGGGCGAGACTTACATTCTTACACTCCTGGAGGATAAACGTTCAAGTTAAGGTGTCCACCAGGGTGGTTTCCTTCTGAGGATATGTCTCCTTGGCTTATAAATGGCTATCTTTTCCCTATGTCTCCATGGTCCTTTAGTCTCTCTTCTTAAAAAGATGGCCACTGCCAAAACCGGTTTGGCTCAGTGGATAGAGCGTCTGCCTGCGGACTGAGGGGTTCCAGGTTCAGTTCCAGTCAAGGGCATGTGCCTTGGTTGTGGGCACATCCCCGGAGGGGGTGGTTCAGGAGGCAACTGATTGATGTTTCTCTCCCATCGATGTTTCTAACTCTCTATCCCTCTCTCTTCCTCTCTGTAAAAAATCAATAAAATAAAAGACGGTCATATTGTATGACATTGCACCCTAATGTGCTCATTTGATCTTAGTTACCTTTATAACGACCCTGTCTCCAAATAAAGTCACATTTTTAGGTGTACTGAGGATTTAGACTTCAATATGTGGACTTTGTGGGCACACAATTTAGCCCATAATAGTACTGTTGAATTTTTATATTTTTATACTAGAGGCCTAGTGCATGAATTCGTGCACAGGTGGGATCCCTCCGGATGGGCCAAAACCTGCAATCCAGTGCCACCAGCAACTCCTATCTGTCATTCCTGCTCATCCCGGCCCCAATGTGCCTGATGCAGGCTCTTGCCCAATCAGTCCCGATTGGGAGAGGCTCACACTACGGCAGCAGTGCTCACCAGCCATGAGTCCTGCATCTGGTGCCCTCCCAAAAGGAGTGGCCTGTGGGATCAGGCTGAAACCAGCTTTCCAAGATCCCTTGAGGGTTCCTGGATTGCAAGAGTATGCAGGCCAGGCTGAGGGACCCCACCAATGCACAATAGGGCCGGGAAGGGACTGTGGGAAGGTTCCAGGGCGTGTCTGGTCAATCTTGCTCAGTCCTGATTGGCCGGACCCCAGCAGCAAGCTAACCTACTGGTCAGAGCATCTGCCCCTGGCGGTCAGGGAACATCATAGTGACTTGTCGACCAGTTGACTGTCTGCCCCCTGGTGGTCAGTACACATCACAGTGGGTGGTTGAGCATCCTTAGCATACCATTAGTATATTCTGCTTTGATTGGTTGTTCAGTTCTGCCATTTGGTCTATTTGCATATTATCCTTTTATTATATAGGATCCCACAACTTTCTTAAACCCTATTACAATTACTAATCTATGTGTACACTCTTAGAAGATTTTTTTTTTACACAGAGGTCTACAATCTGCAAAAAATGCCAGGTTCTTTCATTTCTTTTATCAATACTTACACTTTTTATTTCCTTTTCTTGCATTTATGCACTGTATGAGAGACCTGTTACAGTGGTATATTAAAGAAGTAATTGTCCATCTTGTCTTGTTCTAATCTTCTAGGGCGTGGCTTCAGTATTACATAATTTAATGTTAGCTGTGAAGGTTTTGTAGTTATCCATTGTCAAGCTATGGCTGTTCCTTTTTGTTTTAGATTATAATAGGTAGCAATTAGGAATGGTAGTAATGCTTTTTCTATATCTATTGACATCAGATCATTTTTCACTTTTCATGTGAATATATACTATTAAACTATTTTTTAAATATATTTTTATTGGTTTCAGAGAGGAAGAGAGAAACAGAAACATTACTGAAGAGAGAGAATTACTGATTGGCTGCCTCCTGCACGTACCCTACTGGGGATTAAGCCTGCAACCTGTGCATGTTCCCTTGACTGGAATCAAACCCGGAACCTTCAGTCCACAGGCTGATGCTCTATCCACTGAGCCAAACCAGCTAGGGCTATTTATCTGTTTTCCAGAGCTAACCCAACCTTATGTGCCTGGAATAAATCCAGCTTGTTCATGATGTGTTCTATTTTGTATCCCTGGGTTTTATTGGCTAGTTTTTGTTCAGGATTTTGGCATCCATGTTTCAGCGACACTGGCTTGGAATTATTCCTTCTTATATTGTCCTAATCTAATTTTGATATCAAGGCGTTGTAAGCTTCATAAAATATGTTGGGGATTCTTCTTAATTTTCTCTTATATAAATGTTTACTGTTTAGTAGAAGTTACCTATAAAAGCCACCTGGTTTTCCTTATGAGAAGATTTTCAATAACTGACTAATTTTCTTTAATGAATTTATTATTCCATTTTTAAAATTCTATTTCTATTTTTTCTATGCTTTTAAGAAATTTATTTCTCCCGAGTTTTCAAAGTAATTGCTGTGAAGTTGTTTGTAATATCATGTTACTCTTCTTTTTTCTTTTTCTTTTTTTTATTGATTTCAGAGAGGAAGGACAAGGGAGGGAGAGAAAAACATCAATGATTAGAGAGAATCATTGATTGGCTACCTCTTGCACACCCTACACTGGGGATTGAGCCCACAACCTGGGTATATGCCTTCACCTGGAATCGAACCATGACCTCCTGGTTCATAAGTCAGTGCTCAACCATTGAGCAACACCAGCAGGCTATCATGTTTCCCTTAATCTTTGAATCATCTGCTATTTCTAATAGTTTTGGTGCCAGAATGTTCCCAGAAATTTATCAGTAAATTATTTCAAATAACTAACTTGTGGCTTTTTATGCTTCCTATTGTGTTTATTTTCTCTTTATTTAGTTTCTACTTTCTTTGGGTTTATTCTTTGCCTTAAAATGTTTAAGTTGCACATTAATTTCCTTATAAGTCACCACTCAGCTGCATCTTGAGTTTTGTTGTTATTATTAGGTTCAAAATATTTTCTAAGATTTGTTCTTAATACCCAAGCATGATACTTTTCTAGTTATTTTTTTACTATTGATTTAGCACTTCATTGCAGTGTGGTGAGAGTATAAATCATGGTTTGAGATACCATCTTTGAAATTTGTTAAGCCAAATATTTGCTCAGTTTTCAAGTGTATCTCCGACCACTAGATATACATTCAATATATCCCATTAGACCAACATACTTACTCAACATGTCGTTATTTTTACCTGTACTTAGTGCTGAATAAAATCTATTTAACATCAAAGCTATTACAATAATGGTAAAATATTTGTCTTTATGTAGAGCGGTGAGACTGAACGGCAGTATAAAGGATCTATAGACTGCGGTATGAAGATATTCCAACAGGAGGGGTGGATTGCATTTTTTCGTGGTTGCTTCTCCAATATCGTTCGTGGTACAGGGGGCGCTTTAGTATTGGTATTATATGATAAATTTCAACATTTCCTTCAGATTGGTTTTGGAGGTAGTTCATCAGATTAAATTGAGAAATGCATACATTTAACTTAAACATACAAATTATAGCTGCCATTTGTATATACTTTGATAGTTGGTTATTACTTTCAGTATTTTTTGAGTGGTAATTCTACAATAAAGCATAAGCTTTCAAGCATTTTAATACTAAAAATCAGATAAATGTGGGTTTCCTTCCCATTAAGACTCAAACTTACTTTACTGAGACATTTTACTTATAATTAGTTTATGTAACTTTTATTAGTTAAAATCCTTTTCTTTTGTGATGAAAAATTAAAATGTATAATATTAAAATATAAGAAATTAAGGTTCTTTATAAGTGCTATTATTTTAATGTAATTATCTTCCTTTCCTTTAAAATGGTATGACATATATTTCTTAAAAGCTTATCAGAAGATGTCATCATTATGTCTTTGGGCATAAGTAAGCTTTCTTCTACAACATCTCTACTAAAACAGCTCAGTTTAGTACTAATATCATCATTATATTTTTGGGCATCAGTAAGCTTTCTTCTACAAGATCTTTACTAAAACAGCTCAGTTTAGTACTAAGTATAGTGTTTATGATATTAAATAGCTTTTAATTTAAAAAACTGATAATGACATTAATGACACTGTAAACCTGTAGTTGGGGAAAAAGAATACAAAATGGCATATATCTGCTAACTTTTTCTTTAAATAAAATCTTGCTAATGTGAATATATCTTGAAACAGAAAAAGTCCCCTCAAAATTTAGTTTGTGGATTTTGTATTAATAAAGGAAGTTTAAAAGTTATATTTGAGCTTTTTTAAAATTAATAAATCTTTATTGTTCAGATTATTACAATTGTCCTCTTTTTTGCTGCCATAGCTCCCTTCCACCCGGTTCTCACTCCACCCTCTGCCCTTACATCCCTGACACTGTCCTCATTCGTAGGTGTACGATTTTTGTCCAGTCTCTTCTCGCACTCCCCACTCCCCTTTCCCCTGAGAATTGTCAGTCCACTCCCTTTCTATGCCCCTGATTCTATTATACTCACTAGTTTATTCTATTCATCGGATTTTTAAAAATATATTTTATTGATTTTTTACAGAGAGGAAGAGAGAGGGAAAGAGAGTTAGAAACATCGATGAGAGAGAAACATCGATCAGCTGCCTCTTGCACACCCCCTTCTGGGGATGTGCCCGCAACCAATGTACATGCCCTTGACCGGAATCGAACCTGAGACCTTTCAGTCTGCAGGCTGACACTCTACCACTGAGCCAAACCGATTTCGGCCATCAGGTTTGGTATTCACTTGATTTTTAGATTCACTTATTAATGGATATGTATTTGTTGTTCATAATTTTTAACTTTACCTTTTTCTTCTTCCTCTTTTTAAAGAATACCTTTCAGCATTTCATATAATACTGGTTTGGCAGTGATGAACTCCTTTAGCTTTTTATCTGTGAAGTTCTTTATCTGACCTTCAATTCTTAATGATAGCTTCGCTGGGTAGAGTAACCTTGGTTGTAGTTTCTTGCTATTCATCACTTTAAATATTTCTTGCCACTCCCTTCTGGCCTGCATAGTTTCTGATGAGAAATCAGCTGACAGTCGTATAGGTGCTCCCTTGTAGGTAACTAGCTGTTTTTCTCTTGCTGCTTTTAATATTCTCTCTTTGTCTTTTACTCTTGAGATTTTAATTATGATGTGTCTTGGTGTGGTCCTCTTTGGATTCCTTTTGTCTGGGGTTCTCTGCTCTTCCTGGACTTGTAAATCTACTTCTTTCACCAGATGGGGGAAGTTTTCTGTCACTATTTCTTCAAATAGGTTTTCAGTATCTTGCTCTCTCTCTTCTTCTGGCACCCCCATAATTCAGATGTTGGTATGCTTGAGGATGTTCCAGAGGATTCGAACACAATCTTCAGATTTTTGGATTCTTTTATCTTTTTTGCTTTTCCAGTTGAGGTTTTTTTGCTTCTTTGTATTCCAAATCTTTGACTTGATTCTTGCAATCCTCTAGACTGCTGTTAGGTCTCTGTATAATATTTTTTATTTCAGTCAATGTATATTTAATTTCTAGTTGGTCCTTTTTCCTATTCTCGAGGGTTTCATTAAATTTATCAGCCTTTTTTAGGAAATTCTTGAAAAACCTGGTTTTGAACTCTATATCCAGTCATTTGCTTTCCTCCATTTCTTTCATTTGTGATCTGTTTCTTTGTCTCCACATTTTCGCTGCTTCCCTGAGTTGGCAGAGTAGCTTTGTGTGTTAGGTGTCCTATATGGCCCAGTGGCTCAGCCTCCCCCGTTGCCTGAGATGGATACTCTTATGCACCCCTTTGTGGACTGTGTGCACAGCCTTGTTGTAGGTAAGCCTTGATTGTTATTGGTATCATGGGAGGAATTGACCTCCAGGCCAATTGGCTGTGAGGATCAGCTGTGTCTACACTGGGAGAACTTCTGTGCTGGAGACGCCCTTATGGGAGAAGATTGTAAAAGTGTCTGTGCTCAGCTTGGATGGGGCAGAGTCTCTTGGTGGAGCAGACAGCCTTGGCTTCCCATCAGCCCTGCCCTATGAGACCTCTGGGTCTCAAGTGTCCCTCGGGAATCAATGTAAGCACCTCTGAGAGAAACGCCGAGTTTCACCCACTGCCAAACAGTTCAGTTTCTTTCCGAATGAGTCAGGGTTTCCAGAAACCTGCCCTAAACTGGAATTCAGCGCTGTTGGGAGCTTTTGTCTGCCTCCTGCTTTAGAAAGCCAACGTGTATTCAGCTTCTCTGCATGTGCCTCCAGACCTCTTGTTTTCTGTAGCTCCTGAGTCTGTGCTTTCCCTTTTCCTGACAGTCCAGATTCCCCCCAATGATTCTGGTTTACTAGTGTTTTGCCCAGGATTGGAGTTCAGTGCAGTTGGGAGCTTCTGTCTCCCTCTCCTTTTAGGAAGCCAGCCCCACACTTAGCCTCCCGTGCACACAGCTGCCCGTCCTCTCCACTTGTACGTCTCTGTACTTCAGCCTTCCACAGCTCCTCTGAGTCTCTTGTGTTTCCTTTTTCCTTCTAGTTGTAGAATTTCCTCTCAGCCAGCTTTCCTGTGATTCTTGATGGTGTCTATTTTATCTTTTAGTTGTAGTTTTGATATTGTTGTGCGAGGCAGCAGTTTAGGTGTTTACCTATGCCGTCATCTTGGTTTCTCCCTGAACTTTTTTAAAATCAATATTTATTGTTGAAGGTATTATACATATCTCTCCTTTTTTTCCTCATTGGTCCCTTCCTCCCCCATCCCTTTCCCTCCCAAGGCCTTCACCCATACTATCCCATGTATCCATGGGTTGAACATATAAGTTCTTCAGTTAATCTCCTCCTGCCACCCCCTCCCCTTCCCTCTGAGATTCCTCAGTTTGTTTTATGTTTATGGCCATGTTACCCTCCACACATGGATTATTATACTTTAATTAGCTTGGATACTAAGCTACTCCCAACATGGAAAGGAAGTTCCACATACAGGCCTGCTTCTGGAACACCAGCTACACATTTTCCAGGACTGCCATCTATTGAAGTTTTGGTACTTTGGTACTACTGAAGTTTTAGTCTGCAACTTCATTCTTTGATTTAGCGAGAGTAGAACTTGGACTCAAACACCCACATTTTTTTGTTTCAGTGGGGAAAGAAAAGAGGGACATCAACTGCTGACCTTTTTTTTTATTATTGATTTTTTACAGAGGAAGAGAAAGGGATAGAGAGTTAGAAACTTCGATGAGAAAGAATCATCCATCAGCTGCCTCTTGCACACCCCTACTGGGGATGTGCCCACAACTGAGGTACATGCCCCTGACTGGAATCCAACCCGGGACCTTTCAGTCCGCAGACTGACGCTCTATCCATTGAGCCAAACCGGTTTCGGCAACTGCTGACTTTTTTTTTTTTTTTTTTTTTTTTTTAATATATTTTATTGATTTTTTACAGAGAGGAAGGGAGAGAGAGAGAGTGCTAGAAACGTCGGTGAGAGAGGAACATCGACCAGCTGCCTCTTGCACACCCCCTACCGGGGATGTGCCCGCAACCAACGTACATGCCCCTGACCGGAATAGAACCTGGGACCCTTCGGTCCGCAGACTGACGCTCTACCACTGAGCCAAATCGGTTTCGGCATTGCTGACTTTTTGATGCATGGGATGATGCTCAACTAATGGAGCCACACAAGCCAGGGCTGCATTAAAAAAAATTTTTTTTAATTGATTTCAGAGAGGAAGGGAGAGGAAGAAACATCAATGAGAGAATCATTGATTGGCTGTCTGCTGCACACATTCTGACTGGGGATAGAGCCCACAACCCTGGCATATGCTCTAACCAGTTATTGAACTGTGGCATCTTGGTTAACAGGTTGAAGCTCAATCACTGAGCAACACTGGTCTGGCCAGGTCTTCATTCTTAAAAAGGTAAACTTCTTGCCTGTAGGATAAGAAGTTTATCATGGCATACAATGTCTATGATCTAGCTAAACTTCAGCTATGCATTATATCTGCCATACATAGCTGTACCACAAGCATTACCAGTAACTTCTGATTCCTCAAATGCAGTATGTTCTTTGATGCTTCTGTGCTATTGCACCTGTTGGTATTTTTATGTCATTTATTTTCTTTTCAGAGTTAAATGTTTAAGGCCCTACTGCTAGTAAGTTAGGTAAGCTTGGGACTACAAATCTCTCTGATCCCACAAAGCTTCTAGCCACTAGGTATGCTCATTTCCTCCCAGAAAATGTAAAGAATGTGGTAATCTCTTATCCCTGGCCTCAACTATTTACTTTTACTCTGGTAATTTTAAGTGTTTTTTTAATAGAAGAGTCATTCTCACACCCTCGTTATACAGACAGAAAGCATGGGTAATTAAATGGCCTTAGGAGATTTTGGTATAAATCTAGGTGGTGGGCCCAAGAGGATGATAGCTGCAGACGCAACTGAGGGAGAGGATCAAAGCCACGTACCACCGGGGGTGGGTTTCCGTGGGGAGCCCAGTAGCCAATCCCCATTGTGCTCACACACTGGCCTACAGGAGGCCCCTCCCCAGTCTGCGGTGTCCCTGACAACAGCATTGTCCACCAGGAGCTCCAGTGAACTGAAGAGATGTGACTCCCTAATGTAGAAAGACCAGAGGGAAAGTAAAATTGTACATCCCAGTTTCTCTTGAAAATGGACTTAATGGTCCTTATAACAATAGCAGCAGGAGCTATAACCACACTTGCTGTTGCTGTTGTTGTAGCACTGATAGTAGTAAAAATCTTAAAATCTTTGAAGAAGTGGAGAAATAATGACACAAGTGCTGAAGATTTTGGTGACGCTGTCTATCTCAAGATGGAAACAAGTAGGAAACCGGACAAAGAATCGATCGAGAAGGAACAGAAAGTATCCGGAGAGTTAATAGAAAAGGAACAGAAAACATCCCAAGAAACGGGTGAGGAGAAACAGGAAACATTTGAACAAGTGGTTGAGAAGGGGCAGGAATCTCATGGAGAATTGGGCAAGTTGAAAAGGGAACCCCATGAAGAACTGAATCGGAAGGATCGGGACCGCCAAACTCCGTAAGTGTAAAACTATGACTTGGTTAATCTCAGGACCAGACATCAGATGGTGATCACTGAGAGGGACACAGGGCAGGGCCTCACCAAGCTGCTGTCCCGCCGCCTCCAGGGCAGGAGCTGCAGGGAAGCCCTGGCTTGCCAGGTGTAGGGGTGGCTGACACACAGAAGGTCGCTTTCCTGGAAAATGGGTTTTCGGCGGCGGCCAGGGATAGTGGAGGGGACTGCATCTTTAGAATGGGGCGAAGGAAGTACCATGGAGGGAAAGCTATCAGTGTGCTGGTTTCTTGACCGTTTGGTTTTGGGTATTTCAAGGAGACACACACACACACACACACACACACACACACACACACACACACACACACACACACACACGTGTCCAGTCACCGTCCACACAAGGCATTTAAGTGAAAAGGCCGCTTTCCCCGCCTGGCGGCTCCCGCGGGCGAGGCCGCCGCGCTGCACAATGGGCTCGACCTCACAGAGCGAACCAAGCGCGGCCGGCACGGCACGTGGGCCCCTCGGGGCGGCGAGGTGCGGGGCCGCGGTTGGCCCCTGCAAGCCTGGGCCGGTGTGGGTGGCATCCCGCCGCCGTGCCAGGCGTGGCCCCAGTTGCCAACAACAAGCCAGAGCCGCCTCGGACGCCGCGGGGCGGGGGCGGGGGCGGGGGCGCCGCTGCCCGGGCCGCCCGCCGCGCGAGGGCAAGCGAGCCAGCGCCGTGTCCTCCCTCCTCCCTGATCCTCCGGCTCCGCCTTCCCGGCTCCCCCATCCCTCCCCCGCCCCCGGCTGGTTCAGCTTCCTCCATTTTCCAGATCTTTCTCGAACCCGCAGCTCCACGAGCGGCCGTTGCCCGAGCGCTGCCGGAAGCGGCCGAAGCGGCGGCTCGCGCGTCCCCGGGAGGCCGAGCGCGCATGCGCGGAGCGCGGTAACCGCCGGTTGGAGGCGCCGGCCCGCAGCGCAGAGCGAGCCCGGCGGCGGCGGCGGCGGCGGCGGCGGCGGCGGCCCCCCTGCCTCTCCGCGGCGCCCGGCGCTGCCCTCGCTTTAAAGCGCAGCCACTTCGGATCACCTCTCCTTTGCTTCCCGTAGGCGTCACAAGCCCGGGAGCCACAGCCCAGCCAAGGACGCGGTCCCTCCCCCGGAGCTTTCGGCACCCGCATCCCGACCTCTCGGCGGCGGGATGTCTGTGGTTGGCATCGACCTCGGCTTCCTCAACTGCTACATCGCGGTGGCGAGGAGCGGCGGCATCGAGACCATCGCCAATGAGTACAGCGACAGGTGCACCCCGTAAGTGCCGTGTCCCCCCGAACCCCGGCCCCGGCGTCAGGTCCCTCCCGCCCGGTGACTCCCCGGGAGGCGCGCCGAACCCCGGTGACAGGTGCGGCCGGCGGGCCGGGCGGCGGCGGCGGCGGCTCCGGAGCTCCGGGGCTGAGCTCTGTCCCCGCGCCCCGCCTCGTGCCCTGGCGGCCCTGCTGTTCAGTGTGCGGCTAGCGGTTGGGGTGGGGACCCCCTCGATGCCCTGAACATTAGAGAAACATCTCCCGTGGCCTCTTCCTAGTGGGGCTTGGGGGAAATCCCCGGCCGCGGGCTCACCCCCCACCCCCTCCGCCCCCTGCCAGCCGAGTGACGGATTCTGCATCCATTCTGCCCTTCTCTCCTGCATCATCTCCCCTCTCTCTCCCTCTCCCCTCTCTCTCTCTCTCTCCCTCCCTCCCTCCCTCTCTCTCTCTCTCTCTCTCTCTCTCTCTCTCTCTCTCTCTCTCTCTCTCTCCTCTCTCACTCTCTCTCTCCCCCCCCCCCCAGCTTTCTCGCCAAAAAGTAAGAAATTAGATCTTAGACTGCGCACATCGGAAGATGAGTTATAGGATCATCTGGCCCAGAAAGCTTTTCCCCCCCCTTTCTTTCTTTTTTTTAATTTTCTTTCTTTCTTTCTTTCTTTTCTTTTCCTTTCTTTTTTCTTTTTTTCTTTTCTTTTCTTTTTTTTCTTTTTTAACCAGGTGAGGTGTGCAGGGTTTTACCCCAGTGTCCCTGAGAATTCCAGGTAATGGCCCGGTTTCCAGGGGCGTGTGTATTAACACGAATTAAAGAGGAGAGAATTGGGGATGGGAGTCGTTGGCCTCTTGTATGGGTAACGCACATCCTTTAATGGGAAATGATGGCATTAGACTCCATCCAAAGCATATTTCTACAGAATGAATTGTGAGAGTGGGAGGCGGCTGTCCTGTATAAACATGCTTGAGGAGTGATTGTGTTGCGAACACTTGATGAAAGACTTAAAAGAAGTGGCATTATGTCATGGAAACATGCTCCATTGTTTCTCTGATCTGGGAAGTTTGTTGACGAAAAGTATAATTAAGGCAGGGATATCATAAATCGGCTTTGTGTTGTAGGCACTTGTTACCTGTAATTTTATGAGGAAACCAAGTTTCTATGTCTTCTATGGACAAGTAACTAAACATCTTCATTTGACCTTTACCAATGATCCAAAATATAATAAATATAAGACTAATCTTAACCAGCATCAGTGTTAAGCTAAGACTTTAAACGATTAAATTACTGAAATTCTATAAATTTTTAAATGTGTCAAGATATCCAGGAGTAGCTTACTTGAAGCAGTCTGCTTTGGTTTCTTTGAAGAATATTGTAGGTTTTATCTAACCTTTTCCAGCTATGCATTATATTTCTATTGAAATTTTGTATTTATATACTCAAATATGAGCTTAGATGAGTTAATCTTCATAGTACTGTTAAAACTCTTCTTGTTACATTTAAAAAATGTTTTCCATACTCTAGTTGCCAAGCTAACACGACACAGTTATTTCTGAGATATAAATATATTATGAAAGGATTCTATGGAAAAGAGGAAAGAAATGTTCCATTCCCTTGGTTCAGCATCCATATAATTTTCACATTTGTTTCATTCTTTAACATATTATTATGTTTAAATGAGAGAATACTGTGTGTAAACCAAGGACAGTTTAATGAAACAAATAATTGCTTAATTTTGGCCTACAATTAAGGGACTAAGGCCAGGTAATTTAACATATTAATTCTTCAGACTTAGCCTCTGTAAAGTTGGGAGTGCTTATACTAGCCTCTCATGTTGTGGATAAATTGAAGAGGGAGAAAGAAATTAATAGCATAAATTAAAATTAGCTTAATTTTTCTGAAAATTTTCTTAAAAGAATAATTATACTAGCAGTACATGTTCATTGTAGAAATGCAGGCACATTAAAAGATGAAATTAATATAACTATTCCACCCAGAAATAAAACTTGCATGGTTTTTCTTGTGTGTAGCTTAAGAATACTTTATACTACTTTATATTCTGTAACCTCATTCTATCTAAAACATACCTTCACACTAATTTTAGCATTTTTATCATTTCCTTAATTTAATCTATCCCTTATTGGACATTCAGATTGTTTATATATATATTTTTATAAACAACTAGAGACCCGGTGCATGAAATTCGTACCCGGATGTATGTCCCTCAGCCCAGCCTGCACCCTCTCCAATCTGGGACCCCTCAAGCAATTTCCAACTGCCATTTAGGCCCAATCCCAGTAGGGGCAGTCAGACATCCCTCTCACAATCCAGGACTGCTGCCTTCCAACTGCTCCCCTGCCTGCCTTCCTGCTTGCCCCTAATCGCTTTAGCTTCTGCCTGCCAGCCTGACCACCCCCTTAACCACTCCCCTGCCAGCCTGATTGATACCTAACTGCTCCCCAGACATCCTGTTTGCCCCTAACTGTCCTCCCCTGCTGGCCTGTTCCCCCCCAGGTGACCTCCCCTGCCAACCCAGTCACCCCTAATTGTCCTCCCCTGCCAGCCTCATCACCCCTAAAAATGCTAAAATTAATGTAAAGATATGTTGGTTACCAAACAGAATGTAAAGTAGTATAATTTATTCTTAAACTGCTCTCCCTTGCTGTTCTGGTGCTTCCACCAACTTCCTTCCCCTGCAGGCCTGGGTCCCCCCCCCCCCCCCCCCCAAACTGCTCACTTCTGCAGGCCTGGTCACCCCTAACTGCCCTCCTTTGCAGGCCTGGTCCCTCCCAACTGACCTCTCCTGCAGGCCTGGTCCCCCCACAACTGCTCTTCCCTATAGACCTGGGTTTCCCCCACTGCCCTTCCCTGCAGGCCCAGTAGCCCCCAACTTCCCTCCTCTGCCAGCCTGGTCACCCCTAACTGCCCTCCCCTGCAGGATTGATCACCCCCAATTGCCCTCCCTTGCAGGCCTGGTCACCACCCCCCATCCCCAACTGCTCTCCCCTGCAGGCCTGGGTCCTTCCCCAACTTCCCTTCCCTGCAGGCCCGGTCACCCCCAACTTCCCTCTCCTGCAGATCTGCTCACCCCCAACTTTCCTCTCCTGCAGGCCTGGACCCCCCCAACTGCCCTCCCCTGCAGGCCTGGTCCCTTCCACTGCCCTCCCCTGCTGGCCATCTTGAGGTAGCATCTTATGTTCACATGGGAGCAGGATCTTTGACCACATGGGAGCAGCTATCTTGTGTATTGGAGTGATGGTTAATCTGCATATTACTTTTTTATCAGATAGGATAGAGGCCTGGTTCACGGGTGGGGGCTGACTAGTTTGCCCTGAAGGGTGTCTTGGATCAGGGTAGGGATTCCCTTGGGGTGTGGGACAGCATGGGTGAGGGGCCTGTGGTGGTTTACAGACTGGCTACGCCCCCCAGCAACCCAAGCATAGGCCAGGGTTGGCTGGAAGCAGGTATCTGGGATTTATTTTATCTTCTGTAATTAAACTTTGTTGCTTTGAGCGGAGGCCAGGGCAGGCCAGTGCAGGCAGGAAGCTTGGCTTTCTCCATCACCGGGAGCAATCCAAGCCTCCTGCTCACTCCAGATCCGTGATGGCCACCATCTTAGTTGGGTTAATTTGCATACTTGCTCTGATTGACTGATGGGAGTGATGGTCAATTTACATGTTTCTTTTTATTAGTATAGATGTGGCAATAACTATCTTTGTTACTAAAATTTTTTTAAGTACCTAATCTTTATTGGAATTTTTATGTGGCAGATACTAAGCTAAGATCCTAATGTTTTAGAGAGAGGAAGGGAGAAGGATAGATAGAAACCTCTATCAGCTGCGTGACCCATTCATCCTATTGGGGATCGAACCTGCAACCTAGGCATATGCCCTTAATGGGAATCTGACCATGATCCCCTGATTCATGGGCTAATGCTCAACCACTGAGCAACACTGGCTAGGCTATAAGTAAATTTTTTACCTTTAATTCCTTCAAATAAATTTCTAGAAATAGAATTAATGTGTGTACATTTGAAAGGCCTTAGATATGTTTGTACTGTTCAATTAAGTATACAGATGGGGATTAGAATTTCCATTCCAGGCTTAATTATATCAGAGTAATTAGTATCATGAATTTTTTTTTAATATATATTTTTAATTGATTTTTTACAGAGAGGAAGAGAGAGGGTTAGAGAGTTAGAAACATCGATGAGAGAATCATCAATCAGCTGCCTCTTGCACACCCCCTACTGAGGATGTGCCTGCAACCAAGGTACATGCCCTTGACCGGAATCGAACCTGGGATCTTTCAGTTCACTGAGTCATACCGGTTTTGGCCAGAGTAATTAGTTTCAAACGTGATCGGCATTCAATATCAGATTAAAGAATGTGGTCAATGTAAACATTCTGCCATGTTGATAAAAGTGCTTGCACTATCATACATACCTCACTTTTTCTTTTAGTTTGGTATTACTAGCTATCTTTTTTCATTAGAAACCTAAAGCAGAGTTAAGTATCTTGGCCAAGAATTAGTAAGCTATGAAAGATTCAGTTCAGGCCACTTTGATTCCAGAACCCCAATGTGCTTCCATTATCTATTCACATGAGGAGGGTATATACAGACTGGATTACTGGGGATGTAACGATCAAAGAGATAAATTACCTGGGCAGTTACTGTACAGAGAAACATCTTTGTTCTAATAACAGACTCATCTATTTTTGGCTAGTTTCTAATAAATACCTACTTTTAAAATGTTTTAATATACTTTTAAGTTATTTTAATATATAAAAATTTAGTTTGTTTAAAAATTCATAAAAATATAATAACACAAAATATGTTAGTTAAACATAAAGGAAAGTGATGTGAAGACTACTACCCTGTTTCCCTGAAAATAAGACAGTGTCTTATATTAATTTTTGCTCCCAAAGATGTGCTATGTCTTCATTATTTTTCCCTATTTCTTTATCAGTGTGTGAATAACCTGACAATATGGGAAAATACTATTTATACACTACATC